TTTGAAATAAATAAATTATTTAAAATATTTTTCTCTCTCATAAAACCTTCTTTCATAAAACATTTTCTGCTAAAACTTTCTTTCATCACAAAAATCTCTTCTTCTTTTTTTTTGGGCTTTAACTGCTCGAAGTTTTGTTTCTTGATCTTCTAATGAGACTCGAAGAATTGTACAATAATTGTGAAGATTTTTGTTTGTTGTAGTACTATTTTAATTTTGGGAAGACAATTCCATTCCAAACGCGGGAGAGCAAAAAGGAAACACAGCCAGACTGAAAACAAAGAAAGCTGAAGGCAAAACAGGCCCAGCAAGCAAGAAACAAACTAACTAAAAAAATCCTACATCTTGGTTGAAAGAGAAGATTAAAATCCCTAAATCCAAAACCCAAAAATTCAGAAACATGAACAACAATATGAAAGAAAGATTAGAAAGATCAACACGTTTGTTTTTTTGTCTGATGAAAGAAAGTGTTAGCAGAAAATGTGATGGGGAAGAGAAAGAGGAGAGAGAAAAAAAAAATGCTTTTGTGAGAGAAATTTAATTTTCCGAGAAAATAGAGAGAAGAGAGAGAAAAATACTTTAATTATTTTTTATGTAAAAAAATTATGTCATATTTAATCTCATCTATTGAAAGTGGAGTAATCTAATGGCCCAAAATTTGTGTCAAAAATATGGTGCCACATAGAGCTTTTATTGAGGAATATTTCAAATAAGTTTATTTGAAGAACACCCTTGTAGGGCCCACTCCACATTATATTTCACTAATCCAAACGTCTATTTTTTAGATAATCATTCAAACTTGAATCTAATATCATTTGACCACTCAATTGAGTTATTGAAATTTTAGTACTTTCTTAAAGCACTGTGTTCATTGATTTTGTATGATACAATTAGATGTCAAAACGGTTTTCGATTTGTCTAATTTTTTGCAAAGATGATTTATGAATGTAGATTAAAAAAATAGATTGTTCGAATTGTTGAAAAAAAAATCACATAAAACATTAAAGAATGTCCCTCAAATAAAATTATTTGAAGAATCCCTCAATAAAAAATGGAATATATATGTACACCTTAGAATTTTATTCTTTCTTTATTAAAATTTGGTCTTATTAAAAAAAAAACAAACTATGCGAAGGGTTCAACGTGTAAGAAATAACAAGGTATAGGCTTAGTAGGCAATTCATGCAAGTAAACGGATAAACTAATATTTATTAGTTAATTAATTAATTTATGCTTGCCAACTCTCGAAAACTCTCTGCACAAGGGCTTACCTTGTCCTAACGTGAGGTTCGTGAGATATGAGGAAGGTCATAACTGGGGACGATCAGTTGATTGCTAAACTCCAAGTTGACTTCTATCTCTCTGTATTCTCTCTCCTCTACCTGAAAACTTAGCATATTTAATTATATATATTCTTGAAGTAGGTTCTTTCTTAAGCATATCCCTATATAATCTCCACCATTACACTACAAACAGTTTTTAACCTTTACAAGAAAAGATCTGGAAAGCCAATCTAAGGAAACAACAATCCAGACTCAGAGGGGGAGGCAGATTGGAGAAAAAGCAAAGCAAAAGCAAATCAAAAGCGAAAGGCTGTACAACTTGGAAATAAAAATGATTTCTGGGGCCACATCTGATTGTTTCCAAACCATGCCACAACAACAAGAAGATGAGCACCAAGGTTTACAAATCTTTTCCATGACTGAAGATCCTCAAGTTTCTACATTTTCAACCTCTTCAGGCCCAGAGAACCACTCAACCTCTCTCCTCTACAGTCTCTCGGTCCTCAAAGAGAAGGTTCGCCAAGCCAAATCCCTGTTCAGCATCCTTATCTCTCCAGATCATCACCACCATCAAAGTCAACCCCCGGAGTCGACCAGCATGACCATAGCAAGCATGAACAATGTGATCCAAGAGATCATCGTCACGGCTTCTTCGATGATGTTCACCTGTCAGCAAATGGCCCTTGTGTCCTCTCCTCCTCCAGGTAATAACAACCCTACTAGCACTTCTAATACTATTGACCATGAAGAACAATTGCTGCACCATCAAGGCCTTAATAAGCCTCCTCCTCCTCCTCCTCGATTTTCGCAACCAAACTTTGGTAGCGGCCTTGACAATAAAATCGAAACTCCTTTCTATCCAACTAATGATGATCAAGCACTCGATTGGTTTAGCGATAGCTACATCGATTGTACCACGAGAGATACGAAAACTAGGCCTGTGCAAGGCAAGCAACAGCCTATTTCTCCGAAAAGCTTCGACATTATTGAGCTAGAGGCTGCTGATTTGCTGGCCAAGTACACCCATTACTGCCAGGTTTGTGGGAAAGGGTTCAAGCGCGATGCGAATTTGAGAATGCACATGAGGGCTCATGGGGACGAGTACAAGACCACCGTTGCACTAAGCAACCCCATGAAGAAAAACAATAGCACTACAAATAACAACAACAATCATGGCGCCGGAGGCACAGATGGAAACACAGATTGTTGGACGAATTTGCCAAGGAAATATTCATGCCCGCAAGTAGGGTGCAGGTGGAACCAGAAGCACGCCAAGTTCCAGCCCTTGAAGTCGATGATCTGTGTGAAGAATCACTACAAGAGGAGCCATTGCCCCAAGATGTATGTGTGCAAGAGGTGCAACAGGAAGCAGTTTTCTGTGTTATCTGATCTGCGCACCCATGAGAAGCACTGTGGGGATCTGAGGTGGCAGTGCTCATGTGGAACCACATTTTCAAGGAAGGACAAGCTCATGGGTCATGTCGCTTTGTTCACAGGGCACACGCCGGTTGTGATCAGTTCTTTGGCCAGTAGGTTTGGGAAAGCTGATCAAAGGAGCCATGGATCACAGATGTAATTGGACTGACTATTAATGGTAAAGAAATTGATTAATGGTTTCGTTTCTGTTTGATATGTCTGCACGTTTTTTTTCCATCTTATTATGTGTCAATAAAAATGTTATACTATAGGATTAGTTTGGTTTGTGAGTTTAGCATCGGACACATTGTAATTAACTAATTAATTAAACGTTAAGTATGTGTTTAATTATGGTTGCCATTTTCCTATCCTCCCGGGGAGCTTTACTCTCTGTTCTATTAGCTCTGGAACTTTTGATCAACTTTTCCTTTTTCAAGGGAAACTTGTGTACTGCTTCCCAAAAATCTGAGATTGATATTATATGCATTTTTCTTCATTGTGTAGTCAATCGTTAGTTTTGTCCGTCTTAATCTTTCTATACATACATTTCTTGCTTCTAATTCATGTACATATATATCGTATTAAGCCGCGTAAGTTCATTCATATGATAAAGCATGTCTACATTTGTGTGTGTCATTCTTTCTGAGAAACGAGATCGATTCATGCATTCTGCTGCATATAGAGCAATTGTGTACATGATCGAACTTCATTACAAGTTCATCATAAATTATATAAATCACTAAATAAACAATAAGTTACAATACGAAAACAAGTTTGGTATGGTGAAGCATTGAAGACTGCTGTCTTCAAATATTTGTAGCCTCCTAGGCCTGCAACCCATTGCCCAAAAGTATAGTATAAAGAATATGAAAGTAGAGGGTTTCCAGAATAAGAAGTGTCTCAAATGTAAATTTAAAGTAGGGGTGACATTTTAGGGGCAGCCTAGGACATATAGATTAACCTTCACACACGTTAACTCACAATTTTTTTTTTTATCACATGATCTCTAACGCTTTTAAAGGTCAACATATTGGTCCCTCATGTTCAAAATCGGTTGATGTTGTTTTTCGCATTTTGTTCCACATATCAATGTTGTCCCTATTGTTCCATATCTAAATTTCAATGCATTTGAGTAGTGGATTCTTTCTTTGGCCGGCAAAGTGCCTGTAGTTTTAGAGTCTCGTCTTGGGGATTTTTCACGTAAAATATGTTGTGCACTTTCTTTTATTTGCTTGTTTTGGTTTGATTGATTTTGGACTAAAATTTAACTAGAGTAATAAGTCAGTTGGTAACATTAATCTTTGGAATAAAGGCTTGAGCGTCATAGAGTCCTCGACCGGCATCACACATATGACCAATTACTCTTCGAAACTTTTCCTTGTTTTGCAAGCCTCTCTAGGGTTCCAACGAGATAATACTCCAATTTTACTTTTTATTGAATCCAAATGATCTTGATTAATCTTAGATAATAAAATTTATTAATTATCACTCTTTCTTTGTCCTCCCCTAAATTACAAAGAAAAAGTAAGTAGTAGAAATACAAAATAGACAAACACACAAAAAAGTCAATGTGGTCTAGACCAGTGGAAAAGAGTCTTGACTTGCAAATTAGTGGTCTGAGATTCGAATCTCCATGACACCTTAGTAGTGTGTGTCTGTACGTATGTGTTTAACAACAACTTCTTACAAATATGCTCCTAATTAATGTACACACCATCATTACTTCTCTTTCTTTTTTATTAATACTAGCCTTTCCACGCGTTAGCATCTACATAAGCAGGGTTAGGGTTAGCATCTACGTAAGCAGACATTGGCCCATGGTTATTTCAGAAACTACATATGGTGCCATTCGGAGAAACGTATACCCATTTCGACAATATCACAATGGTTCCATCCAAAATTCAATACTACAACACAACTGCTGAAATCAAACGCGTTGGTTACGTTGATTGGATTGAAGCTGTGTTAGCAGACATTGAGTTTAAGTCCAACATGTCATGTTGCTCATACAGTATGTGATTGAGTATCTTATTGAGCTAAGGAATCCTAATTCCATATTATAACTTATATGAATTATCCCGTTCGCTTAGTGATGAAGTTGGGTCCTAGTCGAATTTGTTTATGGGAAGAATTCTCTGCCTGCAATTTTGACTTTGATCATATTTAAAAAAAGATTTTGTATCGATTGAATTGTCCATGCACTGGAATTTTCTTGACACATTATATACCACGTGTCAGGATTAACGAATCACTCATCTAAAGATCTTCAAATGGCCTGAAATTTTGATATGTTGAACTTATATGTATCTTCTTCTACACTGCAAATGGTCGTGGTTATTGGACAAGTCCGAGGATGAGAAGCCCAAGGACAAATCCGAGTCCAAACCATCAAAGAGAGATGACAAAGGCAATGAGAAAGATTGGAAAGCCAAATTCTACATGTGCGACAGACAACATTGTATGTGTAAGTGTTTAAAGAATAAGGGTGCGATGATAGCTCGACTTGACTCTGAGGAGAAGGATAACAAGGAAGAACCTGGGGAGAGGTGTATATGAGCTATTCAACTTCTCAACTCAATACAAGCGACAACCAAGACACTTAGGGTTCCATTGAAAGTACTCACGTACATAGATGCAGTTGTGGGTGACAAGACATCTCGTGCGTTCATTGATACAAGTGCTAGCCAAAACTTTGTATCAACTGAGGAAGCTAAGAGGTTAGCTCAAGGTTTTTAAGGACGAAGACGGATTCAAAGCAATGAACTCAGAGTCTCTCGTCAATTGCAAGGAGTAGAATGATGGACTCAGAGTCTCTCGTGGTGTGAAGCTCCACCTTGGTTCTTCAAGTGGAACAATGGACTTCATTGTCATTCCGTTGGATGACTATGAGATCATACTTGGGATTACATTTATGGACGACATACAAGTTTCCCTATTCCAACTCGCACCACTTTAGGTGTTTTGCAAGATATGATGCCATACATTATGCTAGTAACATTGTGAGGAACATACTTTGGGAACAACCTATCTGCCAGAGTCCAAGAGTGACGGATGGAGTATCGATTGTATAGCTTGTCAGAACACACCTTGTTGTGGAGAGGGAGTCTGGAGCATAATATGGTGACAACCAAAAAAGGGCCATGGAGTAGGGAGGTGGATGGTGTTAAGGTGTTAAGTACCAACCTTCCTAGGAGTCGAGACAAGAATGAGCATAAACTTGGTGAGCTTGTTGTTCCAACCGACTGCATGGATATACTGGCTAAGGAATTGCATGCACAACTTGACCATACTCGTGAGCAATTAGCAAAAATCCAATAGGAAAAATCATGTCAATCTAAGAAGAAGAAGAGATGGAAGGTGTATAGTCGCTCAAGCCAATGTTAAGGACACTGAATCATAAAAATGAAAAGTGCACTTCCATTATTTTAGGGTCATGAAGAGGTGGAGTGTATCTTAGAGCATCCACAATGATGCTCTCTATTTTTTAGCTAAAATTTGGCTAAGAATATAATAAAGCTATTTTAGGAGCTCTCTAAAAAATTTCAACTCCAACCATACTCCCTAATTTGGAAAGTCATAAATGCTATAACTCTTTTTTGATTGGTTCATCCCTATTAAAAAATAAAATAAAAAATGGTTAGCATTAAATAAAGGTTTGAAATACTCATTAAATAAAGCAGCATTAAATTATAGGGAGCCACTATGAGTTCTTTCTCTCTCCTCAGATTTAGGAGCTTCTAAAGGACTCCCTATTTTAGGAGGTGGATAGGGAGCGTGGTTGGAGTTGCATTTTTATCATTCCTCCCTAAAATTTGTCTAAGAAGGTGGTTTAGAGAGCCCATTATGGATGCTCTTAGCTTCTTCGGAGGTAGTCATGCTTAGTGCCTCGAGGTACCGCTCATATCTTGCCAAGTGGAAAGGCTTGCTAGATTCTCAAGCTAGTTGGAGAAAGAATAATCCTTGTCTATGCCCAAGGACATGGTCGAAGCATTTAAGAGAAAGGACGCCGGAGGAGATTGGGTGGGGGAGAATGTCACGGTGGACTGCTTAGTTGAGGTTCTAGCCCACGTGTAGAAGGCCCATTTCCTCCAAGCCCATTCTATATAGCCCAATTCGTTGTATATTTGCACATGTTGGAATATTCTAATGTCTGTGTCTAAGCCCAAGTATTGTGTATATGCCATTTCCTTGTATGCATTGTTTGTTCTAGTACTTCCCCTTCCCTTGTAATATGCTAGACCGTTAGATCATTGTAATTTTAGCCATCCATTCAGGACTAAGAGTTGTATATAATGGAGATGCCTTATTTTGCCAAACCATCCTCAGAGATATATAGTTCTCTTGAGAGCAATACAAACATTCTTTCTCCCAAATCATTATTTCAGTGTTATTAGCATTCTTGTTCACTTTTAATATTTCGATCCAATTTTGCAGGTTTTAGGCTGACTTAGATTGTTCGAGGCGTAGACCAAGTCTAAGGCCGCACATTTTTCGAGTGTCAAAACCTCATCCTGTGACACTAGGCAAAAATTAATTGACATGTACTTCACAATTAATTGAATAGCCTTATCTTATCTACTTATTAAGATATTCTAATGTACTTTTATTTTAACAAAAAAACCTAGATTTTCAATACATAATTAGGGGTGCGATTAGAAAAACAACAAAGGAAATTAGAAAAAGCAAGATAGTGTAGCGTGCGAGAGACGGAGCTTTTGCTCCCCAACCCGAGACCACACGCAAATTGTCACTCTCACTACCGCCTAGCTAAAAAGGGCATAAATAACAACAACAAAAAAAGGTAATGAATTTAATTTCATGTCAACACACATACATAAAATAGTACAGATGCTGAGGGTTGGTTGTTTCCCAAGAAATTGTTGCAAGTTAATTCAGGGTTTGTTTCTCAAGAAAGTGAGAAAACTTCTTCTTTTTCAATCATAGTCCAGAAAGTAAAGTTAATTGTAAAAGTAAGCAGTTAACCGTACATAAGTATCAATATCAACCAAAAGACAGTGGAAACAAATTGTTCGTATCATCAACCCCATGACACAAGGCTGATTTTAGTTTATTCTTAGCATTCGTGTTCTGGTTGTGCTCTTGTTCCTTTTTGGTTTTTTGATCCAATTTTGCAGGATTCGGGTTGACTTAACTTATTCGGGCATCCACGAAGTCTGAGACAACGCGAGTTTCGAGTGTACAAACCTCATCCCGAGACACTAAGCATTGATGTGGACTTCAAAATTAATTGAATACCATTATCTGATATACTAATTACGATATTTTAATGTACTTTTCTTTTAACAAAAAACAAGATTTTCATTACATAAATTATGGGTGCAATTAAAAAAAAACCAAAAAAACGAAGTGAGAAAGGGCAAGGGAGTGGCACGGGCAAGAGACGGAGCGTTTGCTCCTCACCCCGAGGCCACACACAAATCGTCACTTTCATTCACTACAGCCTAGCCGAAAATGGGAGAAATAACCACACAAAAAAAGTAACGAATTTAATTCCATGTCATCACCCATATGAAAAAGAGTACGGACGCTGTGGGCATATTGTTTCCCGATAAATTATTGCAAACAAATTTACGGTTTGTTTCTCAAGAAAGTGATCAAGCTTCTGCTTTTTAAATCACAGTCAAGATGCTAAAGTCAATGATAAAAGCAAGCGATTAATCGTTCATAGGTATCAATATCAACCAGAAGACTCTGGAAACAAATGGTTTGTATCATCAACCCTACGACACTAGGCAGAAATCAGCTTGTTCTTAGCATTCGTGTTATTGTTCTCTTTGGTGTTTCGATCCAATTTTGCAGGATTCAAGCTGATTTAGCTTGTTCGAGGCAACGACCAAGTTTAAGGCAGCACGGATTTCGTGTGCCTAAACCTTATCCCGTGACACTAGGCAGAAATTAATTGAAGACTCTTATCTTATATACTACCGCCTAGCCGAGAGTGAGAAATAACAAAACAAAAAATGTAACGAATTTAATTTCACGTCATCACCCGTACGGGAAAGAGTACGGAGGCTGAGGGTGGATTGTTCTTGAGGGACAATAACACGTTTCCCCGTTACAGTTTACATAAATAAATTAATGAACCCCTCCTAGAATAACACATAAGGTCCGAACCCAAAAGAAAAAAAAGAGTACTTCGGAAATAATATGTACATCTCAGGCCAAAATTTTGTAGGATGCTCATCACCCCCTTGGAACATGAATTCATCCACTTCAAAATTCCCTACTACTAGCATAAAAACTAGAAAAAGAAAAAAGGGAGGAAACATTTTCCAGGGAAAATTATAGGTATAGGGAAGCTGCAAAGACAATGTCCCTCTTGATTTTCAAAACAGCCTCCTCAAATTTTGACTCGAGCTCAGTTTCTCCAATAGACTGGGCTGCTTGTATAAGTTGCTGAAGAACTTCCTCTAATCTCCTAATAGCCCTGATCAAGCTTCCCTCAAAAACAGGTGTAACTGACATGATCTCGTAGAATTTGGACCCTTTTGCCCAAGCATACAATGCCTCCATAATATCAGGCCGAAATGAACTCACAAAGCCGTCAACATCAATTTCGACCTGTTGTGTATATAATGCAAAAAAACATTTCAATGTATAACACGTCAAGAAGGTAAAACTTCAATATTTTGCAATAGCACAGATAAATTTGAGCACTTAAATGTTTTACAAAGTAGTCCAGTTGGGTCAGTTTAGACCAATATACCAGTGGGACCAAACAGTACATGCGCACTGAGCAAAGATCATAGAAATTTATTATACTATCTTGTCCACAGGCAATAGCCATTTAATTTGATAATATTTAATCTATGAATCATAATCTCTTGGTGGTCTAAATGTACTCCACACAAAAAGGAATCTAAGCTTCTCACAAATTTTACTGCAAAAGATGCATGAGTATACATATGGTTTGAATGACCACAGAACTCTGGTAGACTGATCATATACAAGCTTTAATTGATATTCAAATCAAGTTGGTTGTATAAAGATGATTGAATTCGCACAAGCTATCAGATTATAACTCAAATGATCATCAAACTCCTTATGAAACTATGATAGGATTTCCAGTTTTGGTAGTAGCTACTTCGCAGCCAGAGTTCAGGATGACAGAATGGCAGAATGTGACCACTGACCATGGATATGGGACCTTAAGTTCTCTACAAGGTATAGATTGTTATTTTTCTACAAGGACACAAACACTACATCAAAATACTTTTGGGAATTCTTGTGTCACAGATCTTTAAGTAAATTAGTTAGCATCATCTAATGTATATGACTGCAATCAGGAAGGCCCAACAAAACGGGGCTGTCACTTTCTCAAGTTGTCCTTTATTTTAGACAACTCAACATGCACCCAACTTTTCTTTGACCATTATGACTTCCAAACTTCCAAGTAAGAAACATTTCATTGAGGAATAATCCCCTGTTATTTAGAGTTCAGTTTATTTTCAAATGAATATTCAGCTGTACCAGAAAGGAAGTCACTTCTTTACCTTGCACTCAAGCTGAACCTCAGCAACCCTCCGAGCTGTATCTTGTAACTGAGAAAAGAGCAGGTCAAGTTCTTCCCTTGGTTTTGTAGCATCCTTAAGTTTCTCTTGCCACACAAAACATGAGAGAAGAGACACCATCTCTTCCACCTTTATGTCCTTAAAAACCCCATTGAACATGAGCTCAGTCAAGGTCAACTCCTCTGCACTACTGATTTCACAAGCAACTTTACCCTTCAACTCCACAACATCATCATTTGTAACATATCTGCATTTCAAGCCACAAAATTCGTGATATAGAATTTCTGGTTTTATAATAACAAAGTTACACAGAATTACGAAAAGTTGGCCAATCCTTAAAATCTGTCTCTAGCGTGATAAGAATGATAATTTTTAAATTTTATACTAAACAATAAGCAAAGAGTAACATGTATCAGTATTAAAGAAAAAAAAACACAACATTATGGTTACAATAGAAAGTGAGGGAAGGCCAGAAGAAGGATAAAGAGAATCATTACCCTAGCCTCCGTAGAACCCGCTTTCTTGCCTTGAGTTCATCTTTAAAAGCCAACGCAGTGGAAGAGCGCATTGTTTTCTTGATCGACTTTATCTTGGCAGCCAATTCTTGCTTCATGTGAAAAACCTTAAGCTTTTGTTCTATAAGTGGAGAATTTGCAACTTCATGCCTGTCAAAGAGGTTCTCTAAAGCCTCAATCCTACGAGACACCTTCCTGTATGAACTACTTTCAATCTGAAGAACAGCAAAGTCAAGTTGAAATCAGTAACATATAGAATATTTAAATTAAAAATAATAAAGAATAAAAATCAAATTACAGCAGCATACCTTCATATCTTCTTCCGGATCTAGCATAGGAATCTTTTCTTTATCAAATCTTGAAAGAGTTTCAAGAACTCTCTTCAGTGTGTTTTCTCGGGCTTGTAGTGGCAAAAGATCATTTGGAATGACCATACAAAGTCTACTCATAGTATTTATCTGTTCAGAAATATAAGACAGCAAATAAGAAGTTTAATGAGTGGTCAATGAATTAATACATGTAAAAGAAGTTACATGGCACCGAATTGAGAACGCTTTCTTAACGAATTTCAATAATAACTCATACACAGGAAAAATAAATCACATTAAAATAGAAGCAGATAAACAGCAGGAAGCATCAGACATTTTACCTGAGATATGGGAATGGAAACAACAACAGGTTCTCCTGGCTCTTTTAGAGGAAAAATTTTGATGGTTTTCTTTGCAACTCCATCTGCACTCACCCCACATCTTGTCAGGACATCCACTGTGTAGTCTGAACCTTCAGGTTTTTTACTTGCATCGTCTGGACAACACATGGGCCATTTAGCAACCCAAAAACTCAAATCAGAATATAGACTCTAAGCAATTAGAAATCCTAACCTTCGGAAACATTTTTCACCCGTTGAAAATTAAGTACTACTCCCCATGTGACGGAGTCTTCAACGGAAAAAGAGGGGGAAGCTTCATCGTTCCTCGCACATTGGATTGAGACAAGCCTACCAGGTTTCAGAAATGGTAAGCAGTACTTTGGAGAAAGCACAATATCACGAAGTTCCTTTTTCAAACTCTTGTATTGCTGTAATAGATTGTAATAATTCTTTACACTATCTTCTTCTTCAATTATAATTGAATCCCTCTCTTGCTCAAGGTCCTTTCTTTGTTTCTGCAATCATAACGTAATTCACAATTTCACAAATTGAAAAACACAATAGAATTGATTATCTGTAATCTCTTAATAGATTTCTTTAGATTGTCAAGACATCTTGTGAAATACAAACAAATCTCAACAAAGATACAAAGAAAAGAAAGAGGAACTGCAATTGCAAGATTACTATCCTCATCAAAGCCAACTAACCTCAAGATTGGGGATGGCACGATCAGCTTGAAACTGATAGAATGAGTTACGAAGCAAATTTTCTGGATTACCATCTTCGCTGCGTAATTGATTCAGAAGCATGTTGTAGCTCAAATGAAAAGCACTGGATAGAAGAGGGACAGAGGTCAGAAGCATGAAAAGGGGAAAATTTATTACAGTTCAGATTGCTATTGAATAAAAATTTCAGAGAAAATGCATGGGTGTACCCGTCTACGTTGAAAATTGTATAAATGAGTATTATCATTTTTATTTTTAAGTTCGATACCCATAAGTCCACTAAACATGCTTCGAGGACTCGGTTTCAATTCTGGGGTCCCTTGCTGAACGCAACAACCTTGGGACATAGTAAACTCTAACAAATAGCTAAAGCAGTACCTTGAGGAATTGAACCAGATACCCTGTGGGAACAAACCATGGGGCAGACCACTCAACTAAGCCCTCATTGGTAAGCTGTTGTTTTTCACAATATTGTTTCCTTAAATATTTTCAACGTTAAAAAGATATGTTGTCAGATATGTTTAGATATTTCTGGTAGCAGGATGCAAGTTCTTGTATGTATATATCATGAACAGCTTCTTCACTGAGTTTGTGCATACTTTTCTATTTTATTATATTAACAAATTATTTTATTTCTCATAAAAAATCTAGATTAAAAAGTAACACATGTACCTGTTCAAACAATCAGCACTTCCTTTGAGCATCATCTTAGCAGTAGATGGTTCCAGCTTCTCGTCTACCATGAGTATGCATATCCCACGTTTATCAATACCACGGCGACCAGCACGGCCGCTCATTTGTATATACTCTCCACTGGACAGCCATCTGAACTTATCACCATCAAATTTCCGGACATTGGTAAACACAACAGTTTTTGCAGGCATGTTCAATCCTATGCTGAAGGTCTCTGTGGCAAATAAACACTAAAGAAATATATTTCAATATTTGTACCACTTTGTTTTTAAAAAAATGCTAAAAATATATGTTAAGATGCATATAATAAGGGTAGAATTGTGAGAAAAAGAATGATAATGCAACTTATTGAAAAGGCTTTTCTGGCCAATATGTCCGGAACAGTATTGCCAACAGAATAAGTACCAATTTGGATTTTGGTTAAAAATAGTCATAGCGGTCTAGCCAGAACAAATCAAGACTTTCCTATGATAAAAAAGTCCAACTGCCTGGTCCAGATTTAAAATACTGTTTGGGATTTGTAACTAAGCCATTTGAAACAACAATATATGAAACGTTATGCATAAAACAACAATAGACGAAATAAAATTTAAACCCAACCTTGATCAGACCATACTGAAATAATAGTTCAATCACTTCCTTCAGAATGGGAAGCAAGCCGGAATGATGCACACCAATTCCACGCTTCAAAAGGGGTAGCATATGTGAAACCTGTTTTAACCAGTATCCTAAGGAATGAATATCAATATGAAATAAAGCAAAATTCTTAGCAGTTTTGGGCATAGAGATCACAAATTTAATACAAAACATGATTTTGAATAATTACACACCACTTTATCTGAATATCTATACAGAGGTTAACATTATTTACTGTGATTTTTTTTGCTATTATATATGAAGTTAATTAGATTAACCCAGCCACTAAGTGTGTTCAGTTCCATTATGCTTTAACTGAACCATCAAAGCTCCACTTTGCTTACTCAACTGCCAAAGGCACGAGATAACTCAAATATTTAAAAGGAGTGCAAGACACATGCAAACAGATCAACTAAAGACTGATGAACATAGAAACAAGTTACACCTGACATAATATTTGAGAAGCAGTAAAACAATAAATCTAAATTCTAAACCAAACACAAAGACATGCTTGAACAGACATGCCAACTCAAAAAGGAAGAAATGACAGCTTGCCTGGGGTAACTTCTTATCGTCATCCGAAAGCATATCCATAGCATTCCAGAAGATCTCTTCTATGTTTTTTTTCTCATCGTCCCCATTTAGATCCATTTTTGACATCTGTCAAACCAACCAAACAAAAAGCAAAAAATTGGAACCATGAATAGGTGCTCAACAATAAGATGAAAAAACTAAAGAATTACAACAAAAATATTTTTTAAGAAATTCAAATAAACATTCAGGGCCACATTTGATTGGATTCCACAAGGCTTCCCAACCAAGAAGTAATATTTCTGAATGAATACCCATCCACATACATATTACACTCGATCTTTTATCCAAAGGGTTGACAAACAGTGGATGATCAAAACATAATGCATCATATCTGCAACATGCGGGTAACAGGGTTCAAAAGGTTCACTCTGCATAAAACTCGGCCAATAATAATAGGACAATTTATTGGCATGGGGCTTGTCAGTGCTCCATGTCATTTTTAAAAAGTTTGCAACAAATAGGTTTGTACCTGCATTGCAAGAGATTCGCACTCCCTTTTGCTAAAGCTGAAAAGTATGACAGGATCATACTGTCGTTGAATTATCATTTTCACCATCTTGAAGATATCACTTTCCTCGGCAGCCTTGCCCATGATCAAACCCTTCTGCCACTTTCCACTATCCTTCTTCTTAGCACCATCCGCAGCAGGGACAATAGAATTTAGAGCTTTTTGAAAGCTGTCCTCACGAAATTTCCCTTTTTCATCAACTACTAAGAACAAACCGTTCCCTCCAGAAGGAAAAATATAATGCTGCAGAGGAGTTGGCCTATAATCGGTATAGACAATGTGACAAGGCTGACGGTGAATCTTTGCGAGCCAATCAGCAAATTCCTTAGCATTTGGCACGGTTGCTGAGAGGAAAACAAACCGTGCATTCTTTGGAGCCATAACAATGCTCTCTTCCCACACCACACCTCTCTCCCGATCACGCATGTAATGTACCTCATCAAAGATGATCCAAGCCACTTCCCGTGTCACCTCTGACCCTTTGTACTGCATGCTACGCCAGATTTCTGTGGTCATAACCTGAACGAAATTCGAAAGTAGCTGATTAGCTAAGGAGCAATATGGCTAAATTGGCAATCTACCAAAAACCCTGAAAATCCAAAAAGAAAAAGACGTGCATACCAAGCAGGAAGCGTTGGGGTCTATTGTTACGTCCCCAGTCATCAACCCAACATCTGAAAACTCCTCTTTGAACTCTCTATACTTTTGGTTGCTCAGAGCTTTGATTGGTGAAGTGTATATCACCCGTTGCTTATTTCTTAAAGACATTGCAATGGCATACGATGCCACAACAGTTTTTCCAGCCGATGTATGAGCAGACACCTATTAGCATATCCCCACAATTTCACAAATTATTATACTGAATTCGAAATACACCAATTTCACAATTCAAATAATTTCAATGGGAAATTTTAAAATTAAAAAAAAAATTGAAGAAGAAAAAATCATTAAAAGAAATTACCATGACTGACTCGGCTTTTTCCAGGCACTTTATGGCTTCGGACTGAAAAGGGTCGAGAGTGAAGTTGAATTTCTTGGCGGGCTCCGAAGCTTCTCCACCAGAAGCAGAAGAAGAGGGAGGAACGACAAAACCCTCAGGGTAAGACACGTCATGCAAGCACGCCACGGCTTCGTTGTCCAAGGTTACACAACCATTCTCCTTCTTTTGTTGTTTCTGTGAAGCTCCTTCTGCCTCGGCCGCCACTTCCTCCGACTTTCTCTTCAGTGATCCCATTTCCATTCGAGCTTTTGCCCTACACAAACGCGTCCCGCTCTGAAAGTTTGACCGTCCGATATTTCTCCGCTACTCCAAGGATACGGTTCCGATACGGCGCTGCTGCGCGAAGTCTGAGGAAAATGAAGAAGCGTAGTCGTCTGTGAGACCCTGCTGCGCGAGGAAGACAAAGAAGCGGCCCTGCTGCGCGAGGAAGAAGAGTAGAGCGCGTATTTTTTTTTATAGGGTTTTTACTGAGACGACGTCGTCTCATTGTTGGGCTTTCAATTTCTTAACTAAGTTGTTTTTTTTTTTTTTTTTTTTTTTTTTTTTTTTTTATTTTACTTATATATATCTATATATATAAAACAAAATGTAGAGAATTGTGAAATATTCAAAATACCAGAAAATGCATTTAGTTAATGCAAACATTAAGAATTGAAATTATTAATTAAATGAGGTTAATATGGTAAATTCACACCTTTTTCATATTTAAAAATATTAAAATTAAAAGAAAATTCAAATAATGAATCCTATTTTTATGGAACAAAACTACCCGTTATCTTTTTTAATTCTAAAATAAATTTAAATTTAAGAAAAAAAAAAGCCTCTAGCAACATTTTCTCATAAGCGCGTGCAGAGAGGCTAGTTTTACTTAAGTTGGAACCTAGTTAGCATTTTCTCGTTTAATGCTCATATTATACACGTACGTACATATTTTTTAATAATACTTTCGTTTTCCCTTACACGTCTTAAAGACTCGGTAAAACATAAATTTTTAAAAAAGAAAATGTAATATGTAATATGTAATATACAATACAAGTATTATACACATATGTACATATTTTTTATGTTTAATACACGTGTTTTTCACAAAATTTTGAATAATACAGACAAAATTCACGTATTATACATGTATTTTTCACATATTATTAAAAAAATAGTATATATTAAAATATTAAAATTTTATATAGTTGTCAAATTTTTCAGTTCTTACCAAAATTTTACCGAATAAAATACGTACGTATTTTAATCCTACTTTTTCCATTCCATGTTTTACTAACTATGGTTGAAACGCATTTTTAGAGGAATAAACCTTTTTACTTTTTTGAGACAACAAACCCATTTTTTAAGGAGCAAACTATGTTGTACGTTTTTAGTTTTTGAACTTAATGGATAATTATAACATGATGGATGCAATATCAGTTTTTGTTATTTATATTATTTTTTAAATATATAGTATTTTAATCATCGTGTAGGTGCCATGTCTATATCTTAGTTTTCATAATTTTGTCGTATTGGCGAATCGTATCTTATTGTATCGACATATCCGTATCCATATTCCTGCAATATAGGTGAGAACCCTAGTTACCAAAGAAGATAAAATGAAGAAAGAAAAACAAAATAGAAAACGGTGTTGGCTACTGGTCTGGTACACTCTTTTGAGGTTGGAAGTCAGGGTTTGAATCCCCTTGGCTCCAACCTCTCAATATTTATTGTAATTTTTTGCAATCGGTTCAATTCAGTGAACCATCGATCCTAAGAAACTCAAATCGTGAACCAAGAAATCTAATAAATTACATAAAAACTTTAATAAATAGAAGAATATTAGGTATGAAATAATAAGATGAGGAAAATTTTAGAAAATATAGTTATTGGATAAAAAGCAATAGTCTACTACTGTGACAATTTTTTAAAATAATTTTTCACAACAAATAAGAAATTGTCATATGAGTTGATGCACAATATTATTGTTAAATCTTTAATTTTCACTTTTTTTTGTTAGGTTGTTTCAATTTTTAATATTCATGAGACGATTATAAATGATGATTTTTGTGATGAGGTTAGGCATGAAGTCCTAATTTCCCATTCTTAATTTTCCAAAAATGCATATTTGAATTATTCGTCATCTCATATTATTGTTGTTGTTGTTTTTTAATCTTATTTTTTACTTTTGTTGTTGTTGTTCATGTTGTTTTTTTTATATGCTTCTTTGATATATTGTATGGTAGTTATTTTTTAATGAGTTCTCAATCTTCCCCAACCCAATCATTTGTGAGCATACCTTTATTTAATTTTTAATTGTTAGATTGATTAGGGATATATGAGGAAAAATAAGGAAAATATTTGTCTCCATTCTTGAAAGAAGGAACTCATACTATCCTATAAATCAAAGCTTGACATGCGTGTAGAGATTTTTGTCTTTTTTTTTTATGAATTAAGTTTGCATATGATTCAAACTATGATTTTTAGGAAGGAGCAAACTATGATTTTTAGGAAGTAGGAATCCCTCCTTCCAAGAAGAAAGGGAAGCAGTGCCCAAAAAATAATCTTTTTTGGCTTAGAGCATCCAGAGTAGAAAGGTGTATGTCAAATATAGACACTTGGTTGCCAAAATGTCCTGCAATGGGGATGTGTATACGGCTGTAAATGCATATCACAATGAGATGGGAAAAAAATGCAAATGTACATCTAATTTTACACTCAACCAAGTGGATCCCGTAATAGAAAAACCAATAAAAAGGAGAGAGGAAAGCTGCCTAGAAGATAATAGCATTTTTGCTCACCACTTTAACTCAAGGGCCCCGTTTGGTTCATGGAATAAAATTGATGGGAAATCATCTCCCATGTCATTCCTCAATGAATGAGAATGGAAGATTCATTTCCCACGTTTGGTAATGCTGGGAAAGTAACCGGTAAACATCATTTTATTTCTTTTCCCGTGTTTGTTTTGAGGAAGAATGGAAAACAAAGTTTGTATAAATTTTCAATTATACCCATATTAAATCAAATAAAAAAAAGAATGCATTTAATGATACATTGTAATTCTAAAAATGGGGATAAAATAGTCATAAAAAATATTTATTTAATGTTAGCTCATTTTCCCAAACTTTCCCATGAGGAGGGAAAACAAAACCAAAGTTGAGAGGATGGCTTCACTTTCCCCCATACTTTCCCATGAGCCAGATAATGATTTCCCATACATAGACTTACTAAACATGCGAAAACAATTGATTTCTCATTCCCAAGTCTCCTTTCCCATGAACAAAACAGGGCCAAGGTGTATCATCACCATCATTCTCAACACTTGACACGTGTCCATATGCATAACTACAGTTCCATAAATACAAAGTAAAAAGTTAACTATGATTATGCCTATGGACACGTGTCAAGTAATAAGAAGGGTAGTGATGATACACCTTGAATTAAAGTAGTGAGCAAAAATATTTCTCCTAAAAGATAAGGAAGTTATTAAAATGGTGGGCCTAGGGCGTGGCTGAGATTTATTAAAATGATGCAAATGTAAAAATTTATTCTCCAACAACTCTTTAATGTATGGCCAAATTTCATTCAAATTGAAACATGAAACTAACAACTACATTGATCAATGGTGAAGAATAAATTCATGTCAAAACCAATGGTCCAGATTAATTTTATTTACATCATATTGGATGAAATTATATCTTATTGGAATTTAAAAAAATTTAGGTTGATTTGTTTAGAAAAAATAATTAAACCTAACACACCAAAAAGTAACACAAAAAACAAATTAATACAAGAAAATCGGATTTATATCTTTGAATTTGCATCCAACTCATTGGAGCGAAAATAACATCTACATCTCCTAAAGGTCTAAAAGAGATGTAAAAGTGTCTTTATACTTCCGAATTTACACATCTCCACTTTGGATACTCTTAGAGCATCCACAATGGACTCCCTAAATCACCTCCTTAGATAAAATTTAGAGAGGAAGTAAGAAAACTCACCTTCAATTATGCTCCCTATTCAGCTCCTAAAATATGGAGACCTCTAGGAGCTCTTAAGAGCATCCACAATGATGCTCTCTATTTCTTAGCTAAAATTTGGCTAAAAATATAAAAAAACTATTTTAGGAGCTCTCTAAAAAATTTCAACTCCAACCACACTCTATAATTTGGAGAGTCATAAATTCTATAACTCTTTTTTGATTGGTCCATCTCTATTAAAAAATAAAATAAAAAATAGTTAGCATTAAATAAAGGTTTGAAATACTCATTAAATAAAGCAGCATTAAATTATAGGGAGCCACTAAGGGTCCTTTCTCTCTCCTCAGATTTAAGAGCTCCTAGAGGACTGCCTATTTTAAGAGGTGGATAGAGAGCGTGCTTGGAGTTGCATTTTTACGATTCCTCCATAAAATTTGTTTAAGGAGGTGGTTTAGGGATCCCATTGTGGATGCTCTAAATATGAGGAGAGAAAATGAACTCTTAGTGGCTCCCTATAATTTAATTTTACCCTATTTAATAAGTATTTTAAAACCTTTAATCAATATTGTCTATTTTTATATGATTTTTTCATATAAATGGACCATTTATGTTGAATTAAAATCTAATTCTAGCATTTATGACTCCCTAAACTAAAGAGTATGATTGAAGTTGAAATTTTATAGAGAGCTCTTAAAATAACTTTCGTGTGTTTGAAGCTAAATTTTAACTAAAAAATAAAAAGCGTGATTGTAGATGCTCTTATAACATTAATTATCTGGTTTATTGGTGGAGTCTATCTATCAACAGAAGATTGGAAAAACCAAATTAGGGAAAGTAAATGAGAAAGGTAGATAGCATTCCTCTTACACACTGGTGTGAATGTGTGATCTACAAATTAACGATTTTTTAAAGTTTAAAACGTTCAATTATTTTCGCCAGAGCGCGCCTTAAGACCCAAGCCCGCCAAACCCAAAAACCTATTTTAAAAACTATTCAAAACAAAACAAGCCCAAAATTTCCACCGCTCAACCGAAACCCAATCTCCACCGTCCATGCCCATCTCCCGAAAATCCAACCGCTCCACGTCATCGATCCCCACCTCAAAACTCAGCCAATCACATTCCACCTCCTCCCAATATATAATCAGAACCCCAAACCTCAAACCCAACACCTTCGCAACACAACCTTCGTTTCAAAAGCAATCTGTATTTCTCTCTTCCTTCAAAAGTCTCTGAAAAATCTCTGAAATTTGCCATGGCGCCCAAGGCAGAGAAGAAGCCAGCCGAGAAGAAGCCAGCGGAGGAGAAGAAGGCCGAGAAGGCCCCTGCAGAGAAGAAGCCGAGAGCCGAGAAGAAGCTTCCCAAAGAAGCCTCTGGTGCCACTGACAAGAAGAAGAAGAGATCCAAGAAGAGCGTGGAGACCTACAAGATCTACATCTTCAAGGTCCTGAAGCAGGTCCACCCTGACATTGGGATCTCAAGCAAGGCCATGGGGATCATGAACAGCTTCATCAACGATATCTTCGAGAAGCTCGCCCAGGAGTCTTCGAGGCTCGCTAGGTACAACAAGAAGCCGACGATCACTTCCAGGGAGATTCAGACTGCTGTGAGATTGGTTTTGCCTGGTGAGCTCGCTAAGCACGCTGTCTCGGAGGGGACCAAGGCGGTGACCAAGTTTACTAGCTCTTAGGGTGTTTGGGGAAATGGGTATTTTGTGATCGGGAATTTAATTAGGGTTTTTAGTTGTAAAGCCTAAATTTGGGGTTGGCATCTGAGATGCATAGGATGTTAGGTTTAGGGTATTTTGTAGTGTGCTTTTTGGGAATCAAATTTGAACATTTTGCTTGGTGATTTCTGGGTCTAATTGATCTCATATTAATTAGATGTTAATGTTTTGAATCGTATTGTGCTTAATTGTGTTTTCGAAACCGGAATTTTTTATTTTTTGGGTTGTCTGGTTTCATTATTATCCCCATCTAATTTGGTCTGGTTGAAATCATGAAAATAGCAAACCAACCAATTCTTGTAGGTGCTTAACAAGTAAGTTGAAGTTTGGGGTTCTGGTTTAATACAAATCATGTATGTCTTGTTATATTTTTGCATAAATACGAACTTTTGTACACTGTTTATGTTTGTATACAAGCAATTAACTCTAAACATAAATTAAAGTACCTAGATTTAAATCTCATAATCCAAACGGACTTGGGCTCGTTTGGAATGCTGTATAAGCTTTGAATTAATCCTAACAGTGATGCACTAGAAACTAGTATCTAAGGCAGTAAGCCTTGCATCAGGCAGAAACAATTCGGGTTAGTTTCCATGTATAACTCTATATCTCTATTCAATTTCAGCATGTACATAATCAACAAACACAAAATTCTTTCCGAGTTCACGTAAGGCATAAGCCAAGGCAGCACTTAGAAGTGCAAAGCTGGCCAAAATGATCCGTAGCTGCAGATCTGAAGGTATTCCAGCTGTTGCGCAGAAAACAATGGTTGCCCCAATTAGCAGCTTCTGCCATGTCTGGAATGCTGTATAAGCTTGCTTACATGAGGAACATTTGAGGGTGTGCTGCTCAAATCTGTCTAACATCTGCAAAACAAAGTTAAAATAAAAACTAAGCCAAATAGCAGCTTCAGATAGAATTTGTTTAGTTTGCTTTTCAAGAAAGAAAGAACTGCTTATCACCTGACGTTTTGATAAGACCATTGATGGCAAAGGTTGTTGGTCAATGCTGCCAAACCACTCAGGTTGGCTGTTGCCATGCCGCCTCAGCCAATTCCGAAATGCCAAGACGAAGCGATCTGCTTGTGTGGGAGTGAATGTAATTTTTGTGTACTGCTTATTAACATCACCAGATTCCTCCTTGGACTTGGAAAGAAAGACCTTCTCTTGACCCTGAAGGACAATCATGTCTCCATCATACACCTTATTTGAAGTCCAATGCTCATGCCATCTAGGAACCACCTGAAATATTTACAAGTTGAGAAATAAGGAAAATCCAAGATTATAAGGATATAAACATTGAAAAAGGATATTTAAAAAATGAACTTGAAGCCTACTATGAGCATAATATTCCGATTGGTTTACTGCTAAATTGTTTGACAAAATCCTAACTTGACTCGGGAATAAGAAATCAGCAGGAGAAAGGACTGACAGCAAGTAAGATCAATATATTTCACACACAAATCAAAGTAAGAACTTTTGGAAGCTCATTGAAAAGTGATATTGCTTCTTAGCTCATATGGCATCCGATGCTCATAATTTGGACTGGTGCCTAATCCCTTCTTCTATAGTTTAATAACTAATCACATACAACTTATCTCAGTGTCAACCAGAAAAGCTAAACATCACGTGTCGTATGGAGAAAATCGGGAATTCACATATCCTCTCATCAAGTTATATGAAGTTATAATGAGTAAAAGTAATTTATTTCTACACAAGGGACCATAATAGTCTCCACCACAAGGATCCTGCTGGACAACAAGTGCTGGTTCACCAAATTGTTGTTATGAAGTACAAACTACGACATAAGATAACACAAAGTTCATACCTGCCACCAAGCAGGCCCTGGCATGCTGAACTGAAAGAAATTTCGAGCACTACAAACAATAGAACGAGTCTTCCCTGGTGCCATTGGAACGTTGAAGGAACAAATCCATATAATCCATTTTTGATCACCAACTAGTGGAAGCTTTGTGTCAATCTCTATTCTGGATAAAACATGATTTAGTTTTAGAAGGATAACATCAAAGTCCTACACATAACTCATATAATCTTTTACTGCTTATACAAGGGTGATGAACTTACTTGTTCAAATAATAACAAGGAGCTATAAACTCAGCAGTAATCCGTGGGTTGCCTTCATTTGCTCCAGCAAATCCCCATGGGCCGCTGGCCTCCACTTTAAATGGCAAAGGCTTGGCTCTATCTCTCCTTCCTGTAACCTGTTTGAGTGATTTCACAATTAAGTAAAATGGAAACTTTATCTATCATGAAATGAACTTCAATTGCCAAGTATTAACGTTCCTTATTCTACATTGCCCATTTCCTAACACAACCCAATTAGCAGAGCTTGGATCTTAGAATTCACATGCCAAGTACCACAGAGCAGGAAAAAAAAAGGTCAAGTTCCAAAGACCAACACATGCAAAATACATGTAGCAAAAGTACATAACATTAGATTGGAACAGACACAAATGTGTATGATAATACTTTCATAGATTTATCCACCAACAATATGCCAACTGCTCAATTTACTAGCATTCACTATTACCACTTTAACTGCACGACTTTATCTGGTTAAAGAGAGGACCAACCAACCAAATTTTTTGCTTGAATAACGAAAAAGAAAGAAAAACCCAGATATTAGATCGAACCATATACCTTGTGATGAGCGAAGTCAATGTGGGAAGGATCAGAGACATTTTCCATGAGGGTATCATAGCCATAGAACAGATCACGCTGGATTGTCACTGATGAAAACTCAGGTTTACCAAATTCCTCAGGCAGCCTAAACATTGAATAAGTACATCACATCAAAAGGGCATTAAAATATTCAGTAATCAAAGGTATAACAATTAACAACTAACCATATTAAACAATTAAAAAACAATTCGAGCACAGTAATCAACAATCCTAATCACTATATTCACAAATTAAAAATTCACAAGAGAGACATAAAATGAATCAATTACATGGGAGGCTTAGTGGCATTAGCTCTTTCCCATCCATTCTCATCTGGCCAAACAAAGAGTAGGCCTTGAGACACCAGTGTAGGAAACCTTGTAGCACATGCTCTTGGAGACCGAAGGGCACGAGCCTCAGGACCTTCAGATGAAGCCTGCGGAATCTTAACACATGATCCACATCCGTCAAATGACCATCCATGGTATGAACACTGCAAGTTTCCCCCTTCATCAATCCGTCCTTCCTGCAAAACCAAACAACCCCACCCATGACCCAGTTTCTAATTTAATTATCTGAACATTTCTAAACCAGAAATTGATGTTACGCTTACATTACAGTTACATGGAAGTCATCAAATTTTATATTAGTGAGACCAACTGTACAAAAAGAAAGCAACCTAACGTATTAAAAAAGACCAACTTGGGGAATTTTATTGTCTTATTGTTATTTCTTTTCCTCCAAATTCTCGGAAACCAAACAGAACATAACATTAATCTGACAAAAATGATCAAGTAAGAGTGAACCCAGAAAAGCTTACAGATAAGGGCGCGAGGCGGTGAGGGCATTTGTCATCAAAAGCAACCCATTCACCAGAAGACTTATCATACCATAAAACAAGGTCACGACCCAGAAGCTGAAATGGGGTAGGCAAGCGAGGGTCCAAATCTTCAATCAAAGAAACTGGGTACCAATGATCCCTCCAATTGAACTTGGTTGTCGGGTTCTCATCGTCAACCTCATCCTCAACTCTGTAATCTTCACCATCTTGTTCTGTCTGTGTGGGTGGTGCCTCTGGGTCTGTGGTTTGTGGTTGGGTTGCAGGCACAGCTACTCTCAAAGGAGATAGACTTTTTGCTCTACCTGGTAATTTACGATTTGGGTTATTGGTGGAGATCAAGAAAGGAAGTGTCTTGGGAGGTTTGGGGGTTGGTGATGATGATGATAGAGTAAAAATTGTAGAAGAAGCAGAGGAAGAGAGTAAAACTGCCATTATGGGTTTGTTTCTGATACTTCAATTCTGTGATTTTCTGCTGAAGAATTGGTTAAGGTAGGCTCTAAAAACGAAAATGGAGGACTTTGCGTGCAAGTTTGAAATGGGGCCCCTTGTCCTTGCCTGAGCTAGAGAATTCCAGTTTAAGCTCTGAGGAGATTAACGGTAATTTCGGGAGGGAAAATTGTGCACAAAATAGTCATTTGTGTCGTGGCGAGAGGTCATTGGTTAGGTTTTGTTTGGTGTTGACGGTGCCGGCCATTAGTGAGTGAGCCACCGTTGAGAAAAAATCACGTCCACAACTTTGGAAGACAGTAAACTTGCTGATTCAGAGTTCAGACGTGAGACAAGGACACGAGTATAGAAAAATCAAGAAGCTGAATTATGGACCAAGTGGAAATTTTTTTGGACTTTTTTCTTAAGGAGTTTCTTTTTGGACCAAGTGGCAATTGGGTTCATAAAATGGACCCTATAAGATCCTTATGGCCCAAAAAACTCTTATGACCCGAGCATTTTATAAAACATAGAAGTAGAATCAGAATCGAACACATGATACGTAAAGAATGTCACATCCCGCTAACAAATGCACTTTTCTTATTTTCTTAACTTGAATTTGATTTTCCTTCAGGAATCAGAAACTAGAGTATGATCCTTCTATTGAAACATACATTAAAAAAAAAACATAATAATACTAGTTTAGAATCAATCAAAACAATTCATATCCATCTCTTTCTCTGTGTCTAACTTAAACTCTTTTATCTTTATGCTTTACACAAACGAGTTCTAGTACTAATAATAGTATTAAACATCTCGCTACCACTCAGTTTAATACATTCAAAAGTGAACATGGGAAGAATTTTGACCTCTCGCTCTGTGGTACTCAAGACATTCCTGGTCCCCAATCCAGACAAGTACGTTCATCCGGCGCAGCAGACTCCAAATTGATTCAATTTATTAGGGTTTACTTCCTGAGAGCATACATCATGCCAAAATACTCACTTCTTTGGGTAGGTCTGATGGTCAGGGCCAACGTCACGGGAACCAGTGTTTATATAAGGCCCTCGAAACGTTGCTTGGGGTGACAGTGGCTTTGAAGGGTCAATGACAGGCTTTGGGGATGATCTGGAAAACAAAAAAGCACATTATGCTAACTTTTTTTTCCCTCATGAATTAACATAACATTATAGTGTGTATTCATCATCATTGAAATGGCAATCTACTTACGCCATGTAAAAGGGAAATGCCAAGCCCGCAGCTGCAAAAGCCACCAAGCCAGTAGCAACAATGGCATTCCGTGCTAGGGCCATTGAGAGTACCAAAGCAAACTAAACATGAGGTAAACAAGAAACATAACAGTTATATTCAGTGAATATGAAACTATGTATTTTGATATGCTTCCAACCGAAAAATTTCATGGTTATAGCTAGCCTCGAAAATTATAGCCAGTATATTACAATAAGAGCAAACTTCTATTTCATTTCCATAACCAATGCACACGCCAAGTTCAGTCAAAGAAAATGTTCAGCCGACTGTAAAACTAGGCAAGGAAATGCTCAATCCATAAATTAGATAGACACTATCTCTTGCTATCTAACCTCCAAACTGTAGAAAGAAGGCTTTACAGATTCTAACTTCAATTCAAACATTAAGTCTTAGGTTCAATCTCACTAAAGAAAAGAAAGGCAAAGATACATTTAACTCCTGGTAGTTCCAACTAAAGTTCTCCACAACAAGTATGCTTCAAGTATTCACATTCATGAATCTTGATTAAACCCTCCAATTCACATTAAGAAACTGAAAAGCTATCACTCTGTTTCTATCTCATGGATTGAATTTTTCGCTTATTTTGATCCAAACGGATAATTAGGCATTCGCACACAGAAAGATCAACCTTTTTTCAATGAATTGAGTAATGAGTGAGGAAAAAAAAAAGTTAATCCAATCATATTTCAAAAATCGAAGAAAACCCTAATTTTGAAAACGAACTATGAATAATGAATTGGCGAAAACAGAAATGGAAGTTCGAAATCGCAAAGAAGAAAGTTGAAATTGAACGATTGAATCACCTGAGTCACTTCCAATTGCTGCCCAGAAAGAAATAATAGCTGCCCCAATACTCACCGACTCGGGATTCGGGTTAAGACTCGGGGACTGAAAGTGTTTGCTGTTTTTTTGGTGAACTGCTCTTTCATTTAGGAAGAAACTGGTCAGAAGACAGATAATTCTATCGGCACCTTAAAATTAAATTATCACACCCATAAAACATAATGTGATTTTTACGGTTTTAGTTAGGGTTTTTTAAAAAATATATTATTATTTTTTTAAAAATTTAAAATTATATAATAAAAAATACATGCAATAGTCTAAACTAAAAAAAGAGGGGGTTTCTCACACACACTATGGGTTTGAACTTGACACCACTGATTTGCAAGTAAAGATAATTTTCCATTGGGTTAGCCCCATTGACTTACGGTTTTAATTTAGTTTAGTGTGATTATAATTTATAATGGTTACCCGGTGTCTAGAAAACATTTCATCATTTTCTAGCTTTTATGTTTAAAATGATTGGGGGTGGTAATCTTAGGTCTAGAATTTCAACTGTGATAGTCTGTGATCCACCGGGCATACTTGTCTTGCAAACCCATTTTGTAAGATATGCGTCTCCTTTGTTTCTCAGACAAGGAGCTTAGACTTGTGACCAAAGAAATTGAGACTAAGATAATCCCACGTCCACGACCAGGTTGAAGATGTAGCTGTTAGATGCGTAGTGAGTTGGTTATTGGGAAATTACAATGTACATCAACTGATGACCCATTCAAAAGTTCGACATTTCCCTCGCAAAATGAAGACCGACAGGAGATAAAAACTGATATGAACACAACCCAGCAATCCCAAATATCTTTGCACATAATTCACTTTCCAATCATTCTGACAAAAATGGAGAATCAACTTTGCTTCTCAACAATCACAAAACCATTCAGCATTCATGACTACTTCCAATCAATTGGGAAAGTATAATATTAAGCAGAATCACCGCCGCATCCATCCACTATTCTAATTATGAGATCTCACTTGTTCAAGCTCACCACTTGTTCTAAATCAGAGAAAGCAGAGCCCCAAGAAGCTTAAAAACCCAAAATCAGAACATTATCATTCAAGCTCACCACTTGTTCTAAATCCACACAAGAAAAGCAGTAAACCAGAGGTAAACAAAACAACCATGTACGTTTTAAAAGTCATCAACAATACCATAGATTACAATAATAAGTCACTACGCCTCACAATTCTCCAAATGAGAGAATTACCCTACAGTGCCAAGACCCAAACATCCAAATTACTTTTGAACAAACCATAAACCTGTTTATCTAACATTTCAGTTCTAGAGATTACAAGGTGAAATTGAACACAACAATCACTTTGCAAGCACCTGCTGGGCTTGGTTCTCCTGCTGTTGCTGATAGTTCAGTGGCCTCCTGAAGAGCATGATGTGGGGCTCCGGGCGATGAATTGCATAGTGAACCCAGCCACGGCTCTGCTGAACTCCAATGGCACGCCATTCATTCTGAAATCAAAATGCAAAGGGAAAACAAGGGGTTACTTAATTTCAGATACCAAGGGTTTTCATATTCACAGAGATCAATGCTTCTGATTTTTACAACTTAGCAAAACCATACATTTCAAAAATCTCAATCCTCTTTTTTCCCTTTCCTTCAGGTTCTCAAAAACCAAATAGCACAATGATTTTTTACATAGACATCAGAACCCAAAAACAAAAACGCTCGTTACAAAACCTCTACATATGACCGAGAAACAAAAATTAGGAATTCAATGCCTTTTCAAATTAAATTAAATTAAAGATCCTAACAATTTGGGATTCCATGAACTAAAAAGCAATAATCCACTACATGAACCATATAAACCAGTATAATATATTGCAAATTAATTTGGGTTCCATGATTGAAACATTAACCCAATTACACCAAACGAAAAAATCCCAACTAGATTATAGGTTTTCACACATTTGCATAACTGAGATTCAGAGTTTGAATTCCATTTCTTTAATTTCTTCGGCAATCAAACAGAACCATGGCTCCAAATAACAAAACAAAGAGAACCCAATGTATCTTAGGAAAAAAAAGAAAAAACAAAAAGAGAAAAACCCTAAGCACTTACTTCAGAGAGAAGTCGATTTTTTGGGAGCAGTTTAGCCACTTCCTGAGGAAGAACCACATGCCTGTACAGACGGTCAGAAAAAAAAACATTTAATCAAGAAAAACAAAGCAGCAAACAAAAGAAAGCAAAGCGAAAATGAAGGTACCTGTACTCGTAAATATCATCGAAGTACTTCTCGGAGTATTGGATCTGACCCATATTCAGGGATCGCTCTTTCAACCCAAAATCTCAAACAGGGTTTGTAAAATTTCGCTGTTTAATCTGCGAAAATCGAACGAAGTTTCAAGAAATCAAATGAAGTCGAAATTCTAGAGAACGAAAAGAAAAAAGAAAAAAGAACTAAAGCAGAGCAACAGGAGAAAGGGCATACCTCAGAGAGAATGAGGGACGGGAGGAAATGAGAGAGAGCGTGAGATTATAATAAAAAGGGGTGAGGGGGAGGGGATGGGAGTGATGGTGGAATAAAAGGGAACTTCAAGAAGGGGTATTGTGTAAATTTACTTTCCTAAATGTGCTCTTGATCATTTTGTTAATAATTTTGTATTTGAAAGAAAAAGAACGCCCCGTTATATGAGTTTGAATTTCAAAATTTTGAATTTTTCCCGCTTTGATTTGTTTTATGACTTCCTTTTCTCACGTAATTTGTTTCACAACGGCAGGATTATTTGAAATTATCATGAAATATTTAAAACCAAGTCATTTGCAATGATGAACGTCGAAAAAAAGAAGGGTGAAATGTGTATGTCACACTACACCAATACTCAATGGCTAGAAACATCATACAAATCACACACCGGCATCGGTCTGCAAATCAATGCGCTTTTCCACTGAGTTAGACCCCATAAGCCAAACATCATGCAAATTGAGATTATGGAAGTTATAGTTGGAAAAGAAAAAAATGAAAATGAGAGTGAGAAAATGGGTTGCATCTAACAATCAATAACGCTTAAGGCTAACTAGTTAATAAGTTAATATGACGCTAAACACTTGTTTAAACCTACTTTGCAAGATAATCTCATGATCCGAACCAGTCTTTTCTTAATTACAACATGGAGTGAATCTCACATCTTTTATTGTGTAATAGAGCATTTTCAAGGAATAAGAAGAATAGGAATGACAACCGAATTGGCTTTTCCCACAAAATTTCAAGGAAAATCATGATAAACAAAACTACTCAACACTTGAATCTCATCGGAAGCCTTCTTTACTAGTTGGAACTGGGTGAAAGGCATAAGCTACAAAAATGGAATCCCATGGCCAGAAGCAGAAATAAGAGTGCCATAAAAGGCACAGTTCCAGGCGACAGGAGTTACCAAAATTTCTGTAATTCTCTTCATTAACCTACTCTTTCATTAACCTACTCTCACTTTTCTGTTGCCCAACTGAAATCTCTCAGTTTCTATACGCTACCAAAAAAACAAAAACTGCCTGTAGGGTTGGTTGTTGTATATTTTCTGCTTTTCTGTACACCAAGAGCCAAGGGGAGTCATGTACACTTTGAAGGAAAATGATCCACAAATTAGTTTTCTCCTCTCCATTCCAAAATAGAAGACTTCGATGATCCAACATTCAATTACTCTCTTATCAAGCAAGAATTCTGCACTTAGGGACGGGCTTCCGCAGCATGGATGTCCCATGGAAGATCATCATTTGGTAACTTTTCCTGTAATTGCTTATCTGCAAGAGAAAATATGTAAATAAATAAACTTGAATTAATTAAGCATTTAAATAAACTTGATCGCTAGACCCCGCATTATTCATGTTACTTAGTGTGTTTGCGGTCTGGGGCATTTAGGCCCCCTTCTTCACCCCTAAAAAAAAGAGAAAGTAAATCTCTTTCTCCAACAGTTCACGTACCTCATTTTGGGGTCAACTTCTCCAAACCAAATCTCTTTTTCCAGATTGATTCTGCCTCATCAGCAGCTGGCACAACAAGACTTTTCACATTTAAGAACGCAAGAAACCTCTCAATACATGAAAATAAAGTCTGGAAGTAACCCTACAAAAAACAATAATGAATTCAAGTCAGGAAAAAAAAATTCATATAAACTTCATTGATTCCAAGAGAAAAAAGGTGGCAATGCGACCACACAGCGATGTAAAAATAACCTGTCCTTGGTAATCAGCACTTGTTGCCACTAAAGGAAGCTCTGCCACTTCTGCTCCATAGATACGAAACATTCCGGCTGACACAACCAATTGGCTGCATAATAAACAATATATGTCAACAAACAATTTTATCTATACTAACACTATATAACTGCATTTGGATATGATCCTCACTTTACTGTAATTATTGCACAGTACATCCCACCAAATTCTTGGGTCTGGATGGTCCCCCTGCAAATTCAGTTGATACAATCAGTCAAAAGTGAATTCAACTGGGTACTACATTACGTGATAATTGACGCAATCAGAGCAACCAAAAGAATAGAGGCTGAGTATGACTAATGAAAAAGAGAATATCGTGGCTCACCCATAAAGCATTTCTTTGATGAAGTCAAGGCGTGAAGTAGGATCAACTATTGGGGCAAAACGATCCTATAGCACAGAATTGAAATTGACAAATAAGTACGCATAAAATTTAACCCCTGAAACAATGGCAGAAAGTCATCTAGTAACATCAGACACAGATGCCCAATTATGCACCATATAGACAAAAGCCTGGAAGCATGGGACATAAAGGCACGTCAAATCACCAATTAACATCACCAAATACAACACAGCATTCTCCCCAATATAGGAAAATAAATTAAAATTTGATTTACTACAGCTAGGTTGGCCACTATAATTAAAATAACAGATATTCTTAACAGGGAAACAAATAACAAGTTTACTCACATGGAATATGGCAAGAGCCTTTGAAAGCAACTGTAAACTTTCATCATCAGTGGACGTTTTCCCATTAAGCACCCTCCATTTTATATCAAGATTAGCCCCAAACTCTGTACCTTTCTCATTGTGCTTCTTCCTTACAACATTCAGTAAGGTGTCCGGAAGCTTCTGTCCCCCATGAACTACCAACTTCTGCAAAGCTGAATGAACCCTGTGGCAATCTGGGCAACAGAACCATTTTCCTTTTGGTATTTCCTGGAGAAACAAATGTTTTCGAACGAAGTATGATTAAGATAGCAGCAAAAATACAGCACACAACCAAAACAAGAAGGGGGAAAAAAAAAAAAAAAAAAAAAAAAAATAAAAAAAACAAAGGAAGACTGAGGCACCTTCAAATCTTCAATCCCGTATCCTTCAAACAGCCTACATGAAACTCCTTTTCACACTGGAGAGTGAGGAAAAGAATAAGCACATCAACTAGAACATAAGAGTTAATCATAAATAAAGTGGAAATGTAAAGCACTTCAAAGCCAAGACTTAATAAGTTAAGAAATTAAGTTAGCAATCAAAGTACCTGATCACACAAAATAACTGTGCCAGGACCAAAATCAGAGCCGCTGAATTCATGTCCTCTGCAGAGATCAAAATCAAGAATATTCATATTTTCTAATGGAAAATCTGAATTAAAAAAAAAACTGAAAATCATGATAAGTTAATGCACCAAACATATGGAAAGCAGTAATTTCTCAGTGGCAATTGTGTAATATAGGGAGACTAGACACACAAATAAAATCACCAAAGGGTTTTGCCAAAAGTTAGTGTTCTACGATAGCTGCAAATATTTTTCTGGTTGATTACAACTAATATGAGAAATAACCTGCACAGTGCGCAACCACCAAATTTCTCCTCGAAAGTTGTGACAATACGAATGCATCGGTTGGTTATTTGTTCTATAGGATCAACTCCTGCAACTCTTCCAGCTGCAACAGCATTGGCATTATGCTCCACAAATTTCTCTCTCTCAAACATAGACTGGCAATGTTTACAGTACCAAGTACCTTCAGGGACACTTGGTAGAGAAAGGCACTCTGCAATTGGCAACAAAATAAATAAAACATATAACTCATGCACAATACATTACAACCATACTATACCCTTCTCTTTTTTTATCTTTTTCCCTTACATGTGTTGTAATTATCAAGCTACTATCTTAACTAATTACGAAAACGGATCCAACAAATAAGCCAAATGAAAAACCAGATTTAAAAGAATGCACATGCATTTGAAAACACAATATGCATGTAGTAACAATATCAATAACCATAACGTATGTTTTTAGCTTAAAGATTCAAGTAAAAAAAGAGATACTAATTAGCTACCCCAGTCATGAATCCTACCATTCAAAGAATAAAGTGATATGGCTAACTGCACAAGTTCTATTTGCAACTATTTTAAACAAACTGTATAATGATAAAAAAAAAAAAAAAAAAAAAAAAATAAGGGACAATTGAAGATAAATCCCAACAATTAATTCTATGGAGCAAAATCACTCTTAACCCTCCATGTGGAGGCAGCTAAAGCATTGTATTGTGCATCCACGCATGCTTGCCTTCCCAGCATACAAAATAGAATTGAGGGTCTAACGTATCACGTTGCAATTTTATCTGTGTTATTTTCGTCAAGCCACTAGCTTTTGTATATGTTGAGCTCATCTCCCCTACCCCAAGAAAGGAAAAAAACCAACAACAAAAAAAACCCCATTTTCATGTTTTTATTTTCGACAAAGATATTCAAGTTTAAATCTATTTGTACTTTCTTCTGATCACCACACCGATCATAATACTCTTTTCCTTTAAAAATAATAATAAGAAACAGGTTTTTTTTTTTAATTTTATTTTATAATATATATAAAAAACAGTTCAAAAATAGTGAGCAAGGAATCCACTTGTGGAAAAATAACTAACAGTCAAACCTGCAGCAGCAACTCTATCCTAAGAGAAATAGAACACAACCAGAATTTGCCCGAAAAAACTATACATTAGTTGCTTTCCAATCTCATAAAATAACAAGGAAAGATAGCTCCCGAAACTCCAAAGCTACACAGAAATAGCCCAAATGTGAACCCTAACCCAATAAACAATTGACCTCCTCAGCGCACACATTCTCAAAGACCCTCCTATTCCTTTCAAGCCAGAACATTGTCATCATAGCACATCCCAGAACTGTACGCCTTATTAATCCAATTTTTAAAAATTAAAAAGGAAAAGAATTTATTTTCTTCTTTTCCTTCTCCTTTCTCCTACCCCCTCCCAACCCTAACCCTAACTTTTTATCTTTGCAGGTCATGGTACTATCAGGGTGTGTGTTACCTCAGTCAAATTACTTTTACTTTTAAGTTTTATCCACTTAACAGATTAAAGATTTTAAAAAGGTCAGGATGAAATGGGAAAGTTATGAAAGTTTTACAGAGGGGGCATAATGAGACAAACAATGTGCAAACAGAAGCAATCCACTACTAAAACATACCCATTTCTGTCCTTATTTACCTATTGAAAGAAATATATATTGAAAATAACTTTTATAAAAGTAAAATTAAAAAGAATCGCCCTCGCTTCTCGATCCCCTTTCACCACCACTTCAATGTCTGGCCCTTTTTCAACTGAGGAGGCTCAACAGTTTTATGGATGTAAATAGAAGCTCCTTCAATATATTACCTAACATATATACTAATGAAAAGTTCCACATGGTATTTGAGAATATGTGTTGATGCAACAAAAACAACTGTGAAAATCACCTTTGTGAAAAGCCCTTGGACAATTATCACAGCACAAGAGATCTCCTCCATCTCGACACATGGAGCATAGGTCATCATTCTTCTTTGTAGATGACTTCCGATTTCTTGACAGAGATAATGCCAATTCATGGAGAGATACCCCATTAGATGTGTAAATGAATAGGTAACTGCCAAATCAAGCAAATCAAAGTCAAACAATAATTATTTTATAAATAAATAAATAAAAGAACACATTAACGAAAACTGCCCACAATCTTTCCACCCAAAAATCAGGTAGACAGGCCTATGGAGAACTTGCCAATTCAATCATGATTCATGTCATGTGACAGAGCTAGAACAAGACCAGGACCAATACACACTGCAAAAGTCCAGGACCAATACACACAAGACCACAAACTTAGACCCAACAACCCAAAGAATATAACCAAGGACTCACGGCTTGCGACGTGATGCAAAACCAGCATGAGCTTCAAACTGCGACGCGCTGACCTGCCAATTAGACGTAAGAGAATCATATACCTGTCACTAACACCATAAGTGATAACAATTCAGTAGAAAGTCAACATACCACATCATTGCAGCAGCTACAACTAATGCCAGGCCCCTTTTTATAACCGACCAACATTTTCTGCACACAAAAAATCACTACTGAGAAAATAAAATTCCACTTCAATTAGGCAAAACTGCTGTAGATATTTAATTGCAACCTCCCCATGAGAATAATAGGCGACTTCTGTTCCATCTGGCAAAACATCTTCCTCAAAAACCAACTTGTGCAAACGAAGATCCCTTTCAAAAAAATGTCAGACAACAAGCAAATTAAGTGCACAGATTAAGATAAGAAAGAAGCAGCAAATACCAGAGCTCACATCAAGGGAAAAGATAAACATGAGACAGATACAAAACACAAAAGAGAGAGAGAGGTTATATACTTTCTTGTTACACGTCCCTGACTCTTACTTTCTGAGGAGCTACACTTCAATGTGGTATCAGGACACTTTGGTACTGTAACCGGCTTTGGTGAGCCATACTTTGACACAGTATCAGGACACTTTGGTACTGTAACCGGCTTTGGTGAGCTATACTTTGACACAGTATCAGGAAACTTTGGAGCTGGAACCGGCTTCAATGAACTACAATTTGACATGGTATCAGGCCCCTTTGGAACCGTAACCGGCTTTGGTGATCTACATGCACACCCTCAATTAGAAATCATAGCATATGAATTAAAATACTATTTATGATATTCTTTTGGACTTATATTTGACAGAAGAATAAAACCCCTGAATTACACATCAAACATAAAAGCACATAATTATGTACATATCATGCATAAAAGTATATAATATGTACATATCACTAAATGCAAAAGCCTAGATAGCAAAATCTTTTAAAATACTTAAACCTCCCTTATAAAAAAAAACATTGTAACTTTCTCTCTGTCAATGTTACATTAAACACATCGGTCATCTTGTAAACATTTTGCATCAACCCATCAAAGGCAGAAAGATTTGTTAGAAAGACAGATAACATATTACCAAAAGAGCAGGGAAAAGAAAGCTTACTCATCACTATGGTTAGCACCTACAGCAGGCGTAGCTTCATCAGACTTTTTTTAACTCCATGCATGAACTACAAAGTAGCACTGCTGACCTAGTACCCTCTTCGTGAATAGATTCTACATTTCATCATATGACAAAAGTGTTATGTATACGCAAAATACTCATCAAGAGGAGTTGTAATTATTTATATGGACGTAAAAGCAACCTTTGCAATTGAGACAGATGGTACATTTGTTTATCGATGAGCAACCAACAGCAAGTCTAACAGCTTCTTCCAAAATTCCCAATGGAGAATTTTGGCATACGGTCATGACATCCCGAAGGGTATTGCCATTTTCAAGATAAATATAGTCCGGAGGACGTTTATTTGAACTACCCGCATGCAGCTCAAACACCGCAGGTGTAACAACCTATAAATTCGATAAATTGATCTATCAACTCTTCACAGCAACACTGTAAGATTTATGAACTACAAAATAAAATATCGTTAAACAATACTCACTTCAGTTCCTTGGCAAGAATCACAGTGACACAATATGGAAGAACCCGTAATCACTCCCATAAGCCACGTATCTCCAGCTCCTCTTACCTAACAAAAAATAAAAAATGAACCACAAGATAAACCATAGTCTAGCCCAAACCACAAAACACTAATAATATGCACACAATGAAGAAACAAAACCACCAATCGAAACGATACCTTTCTAAGGTACTTGACGGGCTGCCCCTCGAGGATACCGGTATCAAGAAAATCTTTTAATTTAACAAACTTCCTCACCATCTTCGGCATTTTCATCTCAAGTTTTGATTTACTAACAAATGGGCTTTTCAGCATCTTCGAATTTAACTGTTGGGAATCACTTTTCCCGGGTAAATTATTCACTTTCTCCGCCTTCGGCTTCAATGCTGACCGAGTAAACCGCCTCTCCGGCTTTTCAATCACCTCTCCTTCCACCTTATCGCCGCCACTCTCAATCATCTCCGGCAATTCTTCATCCACCAAAGGCTTTTCTGGTCCACTCTTCTTCAATTGCTCCTCCTGAGCCTCATCTTCATTCACCGAATCACCAATGCAACCCGTCTGTGGCTCATCGTCGACTGCCATCTCAACCTCACCGTTCTTCAACTCGTCTTCGTAGACCCTCTCGCTCAGCACAGAGTCATCCACATGGGTTTTAGGCTCGTCGTCGCTTATGAGGTCCACCACATCGCTTTTGGCGTCCTCTTCGCTCATGGTCTCATCCAAATCCTCCATAACCTTCACATTGTCGCCCTCAACCATCTCCCCACCCGCCAATATATCGTCACCACTCGTCAATTTCTCGTCCCCATCATCCTTCTGCACCTCGTTCGTGGTCGCTTTCTTCAACCTCTTACCATTCTCATTCAGAGAATTACTGCCCCGAGTCCGTCCCAAAGAACCAGACACTTCAGCCTGGGCCTTCAACGCAAACGCGAACTCACGTTTCAGGCCCGTCCGGACCTTAGACATCACCACAAACTCCTCAGAATCCGTACCGTTCGCCATGCACCGCCTCAGATCAATTCAAAACCCTAGAAATTTACCCCCAATCACTGGCTCAGATTTGTATTCGAAGAACTGCAAATCCAAACCCAGACAAAACCTTTGTTTATATACGTGTGGGGTTAAACTGAAAAGGCTCGAACTTTTTTATATAAAAAAATATAAAATTTGAATCTGAAGGAGTTAGGTTTCTGAGAAAGAGATAACAAATTAGGGTTTCAGAGAGAGAGATAAGAGAGAGAGAGAGATTTATTTCTGCGTTTTTGGGAGGAAATAGGAAACGTCGGGTTGTTTTTGAAGAAGAGCCACCACCAGGTATGAATCAAAGAAAGAGAGAGACAAAGAGAGAGGGAGAGAAGGAAAAGGGAGAGTCCACCTGTAATTTTCTTCATTGACGAAACTACCCCTGACACCACGATTAATTTTCTAGTTTATATTTTCGAGATTGCGGTCCTCTATGTTTTAATTATTTTCATTTGCGAGCCATCCCCTCCCCCGAATCCGCTTGCAAGTTCCGCTATTTGTTTACTTTCTCTTGAAGAAAAGTGCATCCAAATCCGTTCTAAATAATGTTTTCTTTGTCTTGTGATCAAAATTGGAAAGGTAATAAATAGGATATAATGTTTTTCTGCATACAAGGATCTCAAAGCACATCTTCTAATGTTTTTTCTAGGGGTAGTTGCGGTTCAGTAACCGCGAATTTTGCCCAACCTGCAAACCGATTGACTATTTGCGGTATTGTGATTTTTAAAACCGCAAACCGACCCCTTTTTGCGGTTTACCGCAATGTGGTAAACCGCAAAAAGGGGTTGGTTACCGTGAATTAACGGTTTAAAACCGCAAGTTCTTTTTGTGTCATAAAAATCCAATTTTCCACATTTTATGCCTAATTTTGATGTTTTTTTTTAAGCCTTTTGAGTTCAAGCATACTTTAACCCAAAAATATAAATTCACAACCTAAATAAATAAATTCACAACCTCAACTTCTCAAGCATTCCAATTCCAAATCATTTAAAGTTACAAACCAAAAGGAAAATGCAATGCAAAATGAATTAAAGTTATAACCCAAAGGAAAAATCCAATTCAAAGTTAATTAAGTTACAAACTATAAGAAAAATGCAATGCACCAATGTTACAAACTAAAGTTACAAACTCAAGTGCTAGTGGTGGTGAGTGGATTTGAAGGACCTCGTTGTGTTGTTTGAGCATCAATGCTATCTGCAAAATGCAATTTTGTTTATAAAAAAAAAATATAGTCGCGGTTTGTGGTAACCACAAGTTTTGAAAATCAAATACCGCAACTGTAACCATAAATGCAGTTCGATTCTTCATACCGCAAATGAGGTTCGGTCTCCCGCGATTGCGGTTCCATTGCGGTAAATTGTCGGTTTGTTTTTACGATTTTCGGTCTAAAATGTCACCCCTAGTTTTTTCTATGGCTACTACATCTCATATGAAAATTTAAATAAATAAGCAATTTGGTTGATTGTTAATTATGGTTGTTCATATCAAATTTGTTGTGGTCAAGAGTTTGACAATTTTAATTAGCTAGCTTAAAATCTTATTTGTTATTGACGGAAAAATAAACAGACGTGAGGAAAGGACCAATAGTGGAATGCAAGTCCAAGTTTGAGGACAATAGAACTCAATAACATAAAGGACCAAAGTGTAAATCATATTATAACTTAGGGATCATTATTATAATTAAACGTAAATAAAAATATGAGAATTAATTTTTTTACTCCCTATTTTATCATTATTAAAAAACAAGTGTGAAACCGAGAATCCTCAGAAAGGTTCAATATTGTCGCAGGACAACTCATATTTACATGGCATGGATGCCAAACGTCATTTATCGAAGAAAACATAAGGAATCTTAGAAGAGGCAGTCACATGCAATGGCTCACTTATAAGGGGTGGGACCCACAAGAGGAAGAGTCCACCTGTAATTTTCTTTAGTGTCCGAAACTACCCTTGACATCACGATGTCTTTCATCGTTTATGAGATTTTTATTTTTGAGATTGCGGTCCTCTAGTTTTTGTTTATTTTCATTTGCAACTGATTTTTTTTTATAAGTTGTTTTTTACAAATTTTTTTTTATAAATAATTTTTTTTTTTCTTCTAATGCTAATTTATCGGAATGCAATAATTAGGAGTATTATGTTTTTCACATACCTGAATCTATGAACATCTCTCTCCTTGCATTTTTTTTATGGCTAATACATCTCATATTTAAATTTAAGTAAAACTATAGAAGAAAGCAATTTGGTTATTGTAATCATTCAATTACATCATAACGTTTGTTTTATACTAAACTTGTTGCGGTCAAGAGAGTTTGATGCTTTTAATTAGCTACCTTTAAGTAAGAACATGAGAAGAAGGAAAAAAAAGAATTTTTGTTGAGATGCACTTGAACTTATACTTAGGGTTAGTTTGACATTGTTATGTTGTAAAAATAATTGCTATCAGATTTGCTGTGAGAGAAAATAGTTTGACGTTTGGTAAAATTTTTGTTAAAAGTGTTGTTGGTATTGATTTTATGCATAATTAAAAAATTATTGCCGCATAATCATTAAACTCAGCGCGTCTTCGAAACTGATTCTTGCATAATCAGAAAATGAAAGCACCTCATTAGCTGTTTTCCTTTATAGCTTTCTCTCATAACAATTTTTAACAATAAGTGATTTTCTCACAGTTTACCAAATTGGTTGGGCTTCTCAAAATTTTTTAAAAATCACTTATCACCCCAAATAAGCAATGCCAAACGAGCACTATGGTTTCAATTTTCAATTAAATACAAATTTAAGAGAAATGTCAATTAATTTTTCAAAATACATAATTTTCATATGACTTAACACCATCCAATTTTCCATCCATTTTTAAGCGTATTTTAGTGTTTCCATTTTCAAGGGTATTTTAAAAATGGAAAAATCATTATATAAAAAATTGTATATCTTTTAAACAAGAATCCCGAGCCTTTGCTTTTAGGTTTTATGCATTTACCTGCATTTTATTAAATCTAGACCATTCCAATTATCTAACGACGAAAACATGATCGACCCTTGAACCCACACCCCACCGTCGGTAAGCACACCCACTCATAACTCCCTCTCTCCTCACCGTCAACAAACATCCCCTTCTTTCTTTCTCTAACTTTCCCTCTTACTGCACGCAAAATTTGAAATTACAAGGAATGAAATCTATGGTTAGCTGAGCACTTTATTTCTATCTCATTTGGTTTTGACGAATTCAGACTTCTCGCCCTCAAGTGATTAATTTACCGTCTCTAATATATTGCATAGGGATTCATTTCGTAAAATCATAAGCCCTAGGGGGACAAGGGAATTCAATGAGGATTTTTAGAATTTTTAAATTCCTAGGAAAATAAGGTAGAAGAAGATAATTAAAGTTTTGGAATTGAAAAGAAAATTTCAGACACGCTCAATGAACACCATAAAAAAAATTTATACATGCTTGGAGAGATAGAATATAGAGACAGAAGGGGTGAGAGGGTGGGGTCATATTCGATGGTGTTTTAGGGGAAAGTGGTTGGGGTGGGGGAGGAAGGGAGAGAAGAGAGGTCATTTTAATTTTCATTTTCCTTGAAAGAAAACACTAAATACCCTTAAATGGATGGAAAATTGGAGTGATTCATATGACAAATCATGAATTTTGAAAAATTAAAGTACATGTCTCTTAAAAATTTCTTTAAGATGACAAATTAAAACCGATGTCCTAAAAAAAAAAGGTACTTTTAGGCTTTATTCATATTTATAGTATCTCATGGCAGGTGCTCACCCGCCGCTAATTGGCTCTCTTTTTAGTACATAGGCATTTTTTGAGAATTATCTAGAATCGGCTGCACTATGAAAGTTTCAATTTTACCAACTATCTTTCTTTCCAAAGGAATATATAATCAATGAAGGAAATCCATTTTGAAAACTTTGTAAATTCTTTGAACGTGCTGTCTAGTTACGACACCTGCAATATAAGCTTTAACATTTAGCATGAGGTAAAATAAAATTAAATCCAAATTTATTTTTTTTTTAGTTCTCTATAATTGATTATTCCATAATTGTAACTTGTCATCATAGAATAAAGACAGAGGAGTATTACCTTTGAGCATCACACTTTAGAGATAGAAAAAAAAAGATCTTTCATCCTTGAAAGGGCCTTCAACTAGATCCTTTAAAAATAAATGGAATCTCTGTCTCCACACCAACCAAGATAGGGGAGAAGACTGACGAGCTCGTGAGATGAGTATGAGTGCTAGCAAAATCTCACCAAGAGGGCCAACCATGTGCAAGATAGGAGAGTGAGTCTGGGTGCTTATCTTCTCACAAGTACATAAACCACTTAAAATGAGATGAAGGCTATAATACTATATAGGGGTCAATTAAGGAAACCATAGCATCCTCACTCATTTAGTGAGCCTAGCCTTGTTGGTGGGCCAATTGGCTTTTCATTCAAGTTGTCGTGCACAACTGAATTAAAAGCCCAATAGGACTTTAAGAAATTTAAGGAAATGCTACATAATGATAATATTGCACAACACTATATCGGATTTCTTCCTCCAACTCCTGTGATGTACTCGAGATGATCAGTGCTATGTATTGTATTATCAGATTTATAAAACATTCCTTCTAATTGATCATGATGAAATGAGAAAATTGTTCTCAGATGAATTTGTCTAAAAGCAAACACATTTCTAATGACGCTAGATTATCTCAACACTACAATGAAAATTTAATAGTTTTAAACATTGGATAATACTAAGGAAAGCCTTATGGGTCAAATCAATTTAATTGGTTGGTTGCTTGTTGATTGATGTTAATGGATAGCTGTATAATTAATTGTTTAACAATTGAATGGAGAATTTTAATCTAGAAGCTCTTTCTCACTATTGAAACACCAACAAGAGAGGTGAATTTCAACCACAATTGATCTGACAGGGTTCTAATTTTCAACGCAATGACAATTTTCTAGGGGGAGGACATATGTCTCATCGAATGGCTCTCTCCCAAAATGTCAAATTTGTGGATTTCAAGGGATCAAGCTCTCAATTGTTATATCAAATGAATACTTAGTAGAATGTAGGATTTCAACTCGTCATCTTTCTGTCATGGCATTCAACTCGACATATGACAATATCCAAACTCCAACAAGGGCTTATTAATCATAGAAGCCAATACTCATGTGAATCAAGAACTTACAATTTGAACAATCCTCATGAGGTATAACTATAATAATAAGGTGAGAAGTATAGATACAAATTATGACTTACATCCTCGTATGGGTTGCTAATTTCAAACTCCATATTCTTAGATTTCTTTGAATAATGTCATGCGGTGTCCAAATGCAATTCGAGTCTTTTTTGTATCGTTTCACCTTCCACCATTTCTCATCTCTACCCTCGTATTATCCTCCTAAGCGATTCAACTTTTGCTCCCTATTTTCATCTCAGATTCGCACTTATTCGAAATAGTTGAAGGCCCTAGCCAAACTTACATATGTGTTTCACCATCATCATCTCAGAATAACATCCTCCCACCAACCAGCGCATATAAGACACTCTTAATCCTTTCTTGGTCTCATGCTTTCGACCTGAAATAATTCAGGACGTAGACCAAATCTATCTAAACACAATGTTTTAAAAACGTCAAGGCGTAAGGGCTTTGAGATTTTTTTTTTAAGTAGGAAAAATTATAAATATTATAACATTATTCCTACACATGAGTAAAATATTTCTTTATGAAGATTGTCGGAGGTATTACGGGACAGGAGTCAGTATCTTGCTACGATCCTTACTTCTTCCAGTGTTACAATGTGTCCGCAAGGTAATGCATCTCGGAACGTCCGCATGAAGAGAAGACTAAATCTATGTTAAAATTATAAAGGTGATTTAGTTAACACGTCCCCTGAAACTTGGGTAAAGGTCTCACTTGCACTTGAAATGAAACTGACCCATATACTCCTTGGACCCGGAGTTTTCAATTTCACTTTACCAGCCATCAACTTCATTTCAAACCTGCATTCAACAATGTGAGTGGGCCGAGGTAATTTTAATATTTTCGTTTTCACAAATGAGGGGTGATCTGGCATATGCCAGCCCAAATTATTAAAAAATGAAAAAAAAAAAAAAAAATCAAAAACTAGAAAAAAACTTTTTTTTTTTTTTTTTTTTTTTTTTTTTTTTTTTTTTTTTTTTTTTTTTTTTTTTTTTTTTTTTTTTTTTTTTTTTTTTTTTTTTTTTTTTTTTTTTTTTTTTTTTTTTTTTTTTTTTTTTTTTTTTTTTTTTTTTTTTTTTTTTTTTTTTTTTTTTTTTTTTTTTTTTTTTTTTTTTTTTTTTTTTTTTTTTTTTTTTTTTTTTTTTTTTTTTTTTTTTTTTTTTTTTTTTTTTTTTTTTTTTTTTTTTTTTTTTTTTTTTTTTTTTTTTTTTTTTTTTTTTTTTTTTTTTTTTTTTTTTTTTTTTTTTTTTTTTTTTTTTTTTTTTTTTTTTTTTTTTTTTTTTTTTTTTTTTTTTTTTTTTTTTTTTTTTTTTTTTTTTTTTTTCCCCCAGTCAAGATCTTTAGTCTTTCTCTGAAAGGTACAGTGGAGTCCTTTGCGAATTCTCTAAATTTTTCCGTCTCATCGTCAACCATTTTCTAAAAGCATCATTCAAATATACCAACAGACTAAGTGTTCCAGTAGAACATAAGATCATTTCCATCAGGGAGAGTACATCAGAATAAAGCACATGCCTATCCAAATGGATGAAGTGGCATACAAAATGAAGTTACCTTGATGTTGTCCTGGAATTAAGAAGAGATGCCTTTATCAAAATTCTCAGAAACTTTGAAATACATTACAAGACTCATCCTCTCTCCATCACTATCACCAAGAAACATTGCAGCAAGATAAGTAGGCAACTGCAACAAGGAGCAGAGCAATATCATTAGATATTGCCAAAATATAACAAACTAAACATAACAAGATAAATCAATTCCGAAAAAATACCTGTATGTTTACAATGAACACTTTCCCATTTGCTTTCACTTTGGGAAGCTCAGGAGGCTGGGCAATGTGATGTATCTTTTTGGGGCATACAGACACATCGATCAACACCTATTGGAGTATATGGACTGTAGTTCGGAGCAGTTGACCTTCGTTATCCCTGGATGGTAGACCAGCATAAAATAATATTATCATTAGCAAGACAGAACAGAGTAACTAGTTGCAAATGTCTAAATTTAGTTAAGGTTGGCTTTGACAAAAGAAAAAACCAAAGTCATACTTGAAATAGTTCTCGCCACGAAATTTAAAAGTTGAGGGTGGAATCTCAGACCAAGATCCTGAAGTCGGCTTCTCTACTCTACAACATGGAATGATATATCTTGGTCTAGGCCGATACAAAAACCTTTATGATTGACCTGTGGATATATCATTGAAATGTTCAGTAATATACATGTACATCAATCCCAATATTCTAAGTTTTCTTTCTATTCAAAGAAAATTGAATTATTTGAATGCTTACATTGTTCAATGGTTTCTTCTGCATCACAGGATCTCCTTTTAAAAGAAAGTGTGAAAACGGCTGATGGCTTTCTTTGGGACTGCAGAACCAAACTCTGTGCACTTAGAATCTTATCGTTGAAACTTACAGAAGGTACCAATGGAGATAAGCCCGATTTCAGGGCATTGTCTTGAATTTTTTCATTAGAATCACGTCCATCCTCTGTAAGTCCTTTAAAGCTTCCATAAGAGTGATCTAATATATTCTTCCTCTTACAGCAAACTTCATCAGCCTTCCCTAAGTGAGAAAGTTCATAGCCTTGGGTATTAATAAGTGAAAACCGATTTGATTCCCTGCGCTCATCTTTGTCTATGATTTTATCTGATTTACCTCCATCAATTTTCATATAGCTTTGGTATTCTTCATACTTGCACTCATTATCAACAAAGCGAGCAGATCTTTCATGCTGAAGTACTTGGCCCCTTGAGATATTCCCAACTGGATTGCTTGCTAATGGAAAACCATCTGTAGAATAAGTGAAGAAAATTAAGAAAGCAAAACAAATCCTTTTCCAATAAGTAGCTCAAGAAAAATTACTTCAGTAGTAATGACGTTTTGCAATCAAACAAGACCACAAGGCTTTCATTCTGTAATATGTAGTTACAGGCTGATGGCCAATACCTCCATGTATACTGACAAAGTCATCATCCGAGTCAGACTCCAGAATACTCACCGAGTCAAACCAAGCTTCCTCTTGGAAAATTACTGCAAATGAATAACTTTCAAAATATGAGATTCAAGAGCTATGAATTTTCTTGTCAGCACTATTGGTTGAAATTGAAACATAGTTGAAATCTGATGAAAGAAAGCTCACACCATTCAAATCATATTGACTATGGTGCCATTGCAGCTGGGTGAGATGGAATGTTGAATTAGAAACCTTAGATCTTCTGTGAGTAGTTGTTGCACCATTCTTAAAGACCACATGAACAAACTCATTGACAGCATAGTCACTCAAGCAAGCTCCTGCATCACTATTTATTTTCTTGAAACTGGTATTTCTTTTCTTGTTACCGTCTGAAGCGGAGCAGGTTGCCTATCTATGGTGTTTGATGACCCACTGACAGTGTTTTTTCCATGGTTTAATTGTTTTGGATGGGGTTGACATGCAACCAGCCATTGTGGCTTTTAAATCATGCAAGTCCCAAGTACAACGATGCCTTCATCAAGTTCTCTCCAACCTGTGTGCCTACAAATGAAACAAAATACATCAGAGAAGATTAAAGGATTTCTAGAAAGCAGTTTCTATGATCACAAATAATCATGAGAACGCAATCAATTCTTTCATCATGAGACTGTTTCAGTAATTTATGGCTCAAACGCTAGAACAGTTAACCAACTTAACACTTGGAAATTATTAGAATCAAACGGATGACACACAGAGGTTTCTATGTTTAATGAGTATGGTGGCACTATCAGAAAGCACCTTGGTTAGAAGCGACTGGTAACTTGAAGCACTACACTAGTTATTCAATCAATTTGTAGATGAAAATTTGTGCAATCATCATAAAAATCAAATGTCTGATTCAAACCTTCTCAAACAAAGTGGGATGTCTCTTTCCCATCCCATAGATAAGCCACTCCCCCAATCTTTAGTTCTGGATCACTAGAACACAAACATGACCAGAAAACAAAAAGATAGTACAACCACCTCAAGAACAACTCAACAAAACCTTAGTCCCTGTACTTGCTATTATCTTTCTTAAGCCCCAAATATTTAGTTCTTACTCTGGTTTAATTAATTAGTACCTTTATCTTAAGTAGTTGGTATTTGCAGAGTAAATGGGAGCATCAATCTCAAGTTTGAGAATTTGAGAATTCCATGAACATTGCTTTGCATTGGGATACTGCTCAACATTTCTGTAAACCATGGAATTCGGAAGGTTTCCTTGAACAAAAGTCACTGGCCTTTCCACAAACAAAAGTACCCTGATCACAAAAATTGCAACCAACACAGAAGAAAAAAAGAAATATTAGTTCTAATGCGTAGTTTTAAGTTGTTAGATATAGTGTTACTGTCACACACAATAATGATACGTACCGCTAAGACTAGTCCAATTTCAACGCTGCCAAAAACGACGTTGATATAGGCACTCACGCAGACAACACAGTCAAACTTGTCAACCTTCCAGAGGTGAATTGCGGCTTCATAGTCTATTACAACAAGCAAAGCCCGAGTATGTGTTTCTATGTCTGTATATTCCCCAAGTCTGATTCAGTCAGGATTTCCAACTACTCATCCAACTTAGGCCAAACCAGATTCCTAACAATTACATACTACTTTTACAGGCTAAAATCTCTATTGCTCCCTCTAGTAATAACTTTTTGACCACATCTTTCTCTTTTCAGGATGCAAAACACATAATCAAAAGCAAATTTTTGTATAGCGGCCATCAGAAATTGAAGCGAGTTCATAATTTAGCTAAAGTCAGGAAAAAAAAAAAGACAAAAGGGGCTAGCCCTAGGCCGATTTTTCCAACAGCCTAACTAAACAAAAGCACAGTTTATAGGTTTTGAGCTCTAATTATGAACATCATTACCGAATTTAACATTACAGAACAAAATCCACCACCTGTTCTATATTTCTGTGCATCACAGATTTTCCAAAATAAGCAAAATATAAAGATGATTTAGTTAAAACTACAAGTAATCTGAATGCATTCCATAAAAAGCAGGAAGTAGAGTAATTGGAGACTGAGCTTAGTGAAAAGAAAAACCTTGGGTTGAAGAAACTATCCCACCAGTCAGAGTCTGCGGCTTTAGGCTCGACTGGAACAAAGCTTAAGTTTTTCTTCAATTTCCTATCTTTCTTGCTTTTCTTTGATTTCTTGGGAGGCGCCATGAGAGCTCAAATGAGAAATTGCCCACCTATTTTTCGGCCTTGAACTTGAAGACTTTGATGGGAAGTGATTCAGTGAAGCGGCCCAGGCAGGGAGGGAAATGTAAAGCTCGCCATTTTTGGCCTTTTTTAATTATAAATAAATGGTATAGCCGCACGGCTATACTATTTAAATATTATATTTAAATGGTATAGCTTAGCGGCGGTACTCTTAAAATATAATATATTTAAAAGGTATCACCGCGCGGCTATACTTGCATCTCTACTCCTAAAATTTTCATTCAAACGCTGTCCACCTTCACAGAGCTTGAAAAATCCTGAACACATTAAAAGTCTAGACACCATCATTCCCCCAGGCCAACCAGTTACAACGCCAAGAAACAACAATTCGCTGCAGAAAGAGCATGCTGTAGTTGTCCTCCAGGTCACAACAATCGTCTGATGTTTGAACGGTAGGAAGGGTTGTAATGATGTGTGTACCATTTATGGCTCCACAACAATTGGGCAATCCAAAGGCTTCTTCAAGTTTGGACTTTATTTCTTCCATTCTGTTGGAATCAGGCCACTTGAGATGGTGCTTGGCACGTTCTTCCAATGCTTCCAAGTCACAGAAACTGTACCCCGAACTGATACTTGAGATTCACGGCAATACCCTATTTATATTTAATTTTTAACGAGAATAGCCACTATTTTTAATTATTTTATTTCTTTTTACAGAGTATTGCCGACAGCTATACACCTTTTTATATTTAATTTTCGACGAGTATAGCCGAGCGGCTATATATACCCTTTTTTTTTCCAGATTATTTTAGGGTTTGGGGGCTAATATACCACTTTAGCCCATTCGGCTGGAGTTATTTCTTCAATTATTTTGGGCAAGAATAAAAAATGGATTTTATTTATAAGAAATAATAGGAGTTTAACCCATAAATACAACAACAAAAGGGATCCACCAACATTTTGTGGATCAAAGAATGTTGAATTTCTATGTATAAAATTGCTTGAATGCGTTTTGAATCTAAATGTCCATGTCCTAAAAAAAGTCTTCTTGGTATTTACTCTTTTTAACCCCTTTCGTCCTAGGGTTAGAGTGTGAGAAATATATATGGGAGAAGGAAAGAGACTCAACTCACAACTACATACTCAATCTCACTCAAATACATAAAGAAAGAAATATATATATATATATATATATTTAAAAGTATAGCCGAGCGATTATACTTTGTAAATATATTCGAATATTTACTGATATACACCTTAAGGTCCAATGTATCCTACTGATAAGATATCTTCCTTTGGTTACTGCAGTTCAATAAGTTGTGAAATAGAGTGCTCTTGCTCGAACTGTAGATGACAATCTAAAATTAAAGTCAATTTCATCCCCTGGAAAGCACGGTAAAACAAATGTTAGCAAGCAAAGCAAGAAAAGGCCACATAGTACCTGGAGAGTCTTAGGAACTGATGGTAACTCCATGTGAGTAACCAAGTGATCAGAGAAAGATACTCTTATGAGAGCATATAATTCCCATGTTGAGGTGTTCGCAAGGACCAACCACCATGCTTAGTTTTTCACCTGTAAAAGAGAATCTGAAGCTCAGTTTGGTTTCTCATTACTAGTTTAGAACAAGAAGAAGTTTTTACCTTAGGGAAATGCGGGGTAAACGCTTTTGATTTGTTTTGCCTGAAATTGGTGTTCACCAATGTGATATCTAAAGAGCGAGACTTTCCGCTGAAGTTTTAACTTCACTTCGATGCGTGGAAAAGGCTGCAGATCCTAGAAGAACAAAATATTCTAGATGCAAAGCTACTGAAATTAGTTAACACGCCTGAAAGCAAATAACTGACTTGTATTTCAATAACTTCCCAGCCCAGCCAAAAAGTTGTCCATTCATGTTAAATCTTGACCTGTGGGTTAGTCAGCCATGTGTCAACTATCTTAGAAGTCTGTACATGATACATTTTTGAAGCAGGAAAATTTCCAATCATGGTCTGCAAAGTTGCCTTGGGGAATCGTAGCTGTACGCTGAATATTCCTCTTTTGCTTAGCGAGTTAGAAAGTTCAATATTCATGCATGGCATCATCCATAAGGAAGAATCCCCATCAAACCATAAACCCTGAAAAGAACCCAAAAGATATGAGAAGAGGCTAGGAGGTGAAAACTCTACTTTCTTAAGCAACAAATCATCCGAATGAAAGCGTAATTGTTAAAAAAAAATAATTAGATAAATCAAAGCTTCACCATTTTCAGAAACAATTAGTGTACCATTTAAGTGCAAGTGCTGCACATTGTCCTTACAGACAAAAATATATATGGCTAAATTCCAAAGTGGCCCTTCTAACAACACTTTAATGAGTAAGTCATAATTGCTCATGCTTTTGGGGTCTCTGAAGGTCTGGTTAACTCACATCCAATCCTTCCTCAGGCCAGATAAATCTACGTAAATAAAACAAAAGAAGAGCTTCTCTTGGAGGACAAAGGAAAAAAAACAAAAAAAGATAAACAATACAAGAAAGAAGCATGGACTAACAACATTCAGGGGTGCTCAGCATCCCCGATTAACATCTCTAACTAATCAACTGATATGCTAGCTGTAGAATGTAATAATATAAACAAGGCAGAGTGCCCAATTCGCACTAGCACTGGTCTTTTATTTCTGATATTCAAAACCCCAAACAACCTGATTCCTAGTATTAATATTTGAAGCAAATATTCAGAAACTAATATGATTTGTGTTTATTGATTGTTAGGCGGGCGGATTGTGATGGTACTCCCATCTTTCTTGTAGAATCTGAGCAACTGTTGATTATAAAGGGAGAAAAGCATGTAATCTGATTCACATATTTCTTTCTTTCCATTTTTTATTCTATGTAGTCATGTGTGACCAAAACCATCATTTGCAATATATATGTGATTGATATTGTAAAATCAACATATCTCTTTGTTTTCCCATCATAATATTCTGTTCCCTGCAAGAGAATCATCACTTACATAAATTTGTCCTGAAGAACAGCTGCTGCAATATACTCCTGCTAGAAACCTTTGTAAATATAGGAACCAAATGAAAAAGATACCGCACAAATTTTGCCTTACCTTAATAATGAACAGATGATGACCTGGAAGGTTTACACCCCATGCCAATGTACTGGTACAAACCAATACCTATAATTTAATACATATGCCTAATCAGTATATGGAGTAAGAAAATTATCTTTTTATATTCTCTTTTCCTAATGTGTTTTTAGGAAAGACACATGCTTACTGAGGTAAAACAGAAATGCCTGAATCTTGTTGTTTGCAAAAAGCTCCTCAACCATAGATCTATCTTTGTCATTCAGACAGACATGGCGTAATCCAATGCCAAACTGCAAGGTGTGCCTCACGTTAAAGAACCATCTGCTGGGCTTCTTCTGGCATACTAAGAAACTGCCTTGGATGTTCATCTGACGTTGCCAACTTCAATAACAGAAAAGCACAAAAAAAAATCGAATCAACGCAGCAGCCGAAACCAAAGAAAAAAAAATCCAAGCTTGAGTTGAGAGAGAGGCTCAAGACCGAGTATTTGAATTTTGAAGATTGGACTGCGAGTGCAAGCTTCGTGTTCGTTTCTCTGTCTCTTCATTTCACTCGCGCACCACATTCCTGTGCGAGTGCAAGGTTCGTCTCTCTTCATTTGAAAAAAAAAAGGATGCCCAGACCCGCCCAGGCCTCCTAAAACCGCCCAGGCCGCCTAGGCGCTGCCTAGACCCGCCCGAGCCGCCTAGATCCGCCTAGGCGCTGCCTAGATCAGCCCAGGCCGCCGCCTAAAGTGTGGAGATTTCAATAGCTGAATGACATTTGATGGTTTTCATAGAGAGAGTCCAGTCCAATCCAATCAACGCATCAGCCGAAACGAAAGAAAAAAAATTGAAGCTTGAGAGAGAGAGAGAGAGAGAGAGGCTCAAGACCGAGTCTTTGAAGCTTGCAAGCGAAATGGCCTTGTGACTGCGAGTGCAAGCTTCGTGTTTGTTTCGAATGAATTTAAAGAGTATAGCCGATCGGCTATACCTTTAAAATATTCGGATACATTCCAATAGGGTAGCCGCGCGGCTATACCTTTAAATAATATATTTGAATAGTATAGCCGCCGGCTATACTCTTTAAATATACAATTTTGTTAATGTTATTTTAGGGTTTAAGGCTTAAAATACCACTTTCGCTAATTAGGATAGAGTTATTTATTCAATTATTTTATTTATACCAGTGATATTGGAGAATGAGAATTTAAGTTCTTTCCAATTCCTCACATTCTAATGATTTCCAACTACTAGCCCATTAGGCAAGAATAAAAAATGGATTTTATTTATAAGAAATAATACGTGTTAAACCCATAAATACAACAACAAAAAATAGGGATCCACCAACATTTTCGGGATAAAAGAATCTTGAATTTCATGGTATAAAATTGCACGTGTAATAATTTAGTTTCTAAAATGTATCCATCGTAATTATGAACTAAACCCAATGACAACATTTTTCTCATTGCACTTGACAACCTGCCCTTTTGCTATGAGATATATCAGTTCGCGTTGTATTCTCTGCAGATGAAAAATTGGATACAAAATAGTCTAATGAGACAATGAAGAAAAGAGTTTTGAAATAAATTGAAGGTAGTAATATCAGTCAGGCAGTAATATCCACCCAAAATAATGGAAAATCTGATTCAGGATATTCTTAATGGTCATCCCAATACCTATTATAGAGGACTAAGAGATTTTACTTATGGAGATAACCCATTAAAAAACAAAAAGCAAAAAAGAAGGTAAATTCCGAGTTCATTCAATTGATGTCATTCCAGAGCATTTTACCTTGACGTGCTGCTCTTTTACCCTGCCTTATCCATAATCGAGCATACTCTGCTGCATTATTTGTCAATTCCTGCAACTGGACAGATATAGAAGTTAAACCACATAGGCGCAACCAATATGAGGGGGAAAAACATGGAAGAACTTTGTCCTGCATCTCCCTACAGTGATGCATGTTACACTTCAGGCTATTAATACATTAGCTACAGGGCCTTTTAGCAACGACATTATTAGACTTAATTCAGTGACAACTATAATACATTTGAAGATTTACAACCAAATTCCATTAGGTCACATGTCACATATAAAATAAGATGCCTTATCGACAACACTTTAAGCTCTGCTTATTGTATCTCAAGTTTTGCTAATTGAAGTTGAAAACTATGCAACTTTGCATCTAGAAAAATGTGTGACCAATTTATTAATAAAAAAAATTTTAAAAAAAAACTCAAAAGCATTGTTAAGCACCGGATCAAGCTTAACTCAAGCTTCTTACTATTCTCTACAACAAAAAATTTAAAAATAAAATATAAAAGAAAAGAGCACACTCCAATAGAGAGATTACAGCAAACCAAATTGTCATGAACTTACGTCTGCTCTGTCTCTAGACCCTTTTGGTTGATATATGTCCTGTACCCATACGGTACCTGAAGAGCACATCAAAAGACAAAAATATTGAACAAGAGCAGTAATGAAAGATCAAA